TATCTTTTTCAATAAATGTCTCTAATTTTCTAATTACATGGCTGGATACCTTCTGGGTAGACCATATATTTGTGTATTTGTAGCTATCCCAAATCTAATGCTATACAGTTTTACAAGTACAGTAGTACCCACTTTTCTGCAAAGAATATGTTCCAAGATGTATCCAGTGGAAACCTAAAAGGATGGTGCAGAGCCTTGTATAGATATGTTTTTCTATACATAAGTATGTATGGTAAAGTTAATTTAGAAATTGGGTATAGTAAGAGATTAACAACAATAACTGTTATTAAAATAGAACAATTATAAGGGTACACTATAGGTGTAGTCAAAATTATGTGAATGGCTTTGGGACTGTTATTAAGTAAAATAAAGGTTACTTGAACACAAACACTTCAGTACTGTAACAGTCCATCTGACAACTGAGATTGCCACTAAGTGATGAATGAGTAGGTAGTATATAGATTGTATATGCTGGACAAACAGGTAATTTCACTTTCCAGGTGGGACGGAGCAGAATGGTGTGGGGTGGTGGAAGATTTCATCATGCTACTCAGAATGACACGTAATTTAAAACTTAGGAGTTGTTTATTTCTGGAATTTTCTGCTTAATACATTTGAACCGCTTTGTGGAAAGTGAAACCACAGATAAATGGGGACCAACCACGCTGTGCATTATTGTGTATGTATGAAGTGCAGTCACTTTTCTTTCAACTTGTTCTTCTCATATGTGATATATATATACACACACACAGACATACATATGTAATTATTTAAGATTATACTTTGTATGCTATTCTGAAGCTTTTTCATTTAACAGTGGGTCATTAAAATATTTCTATTCCATAGGCATGTATTATTAGTATCTATGTACTGTGTCTCTCTCTCTCTAGATATTCTCAATTGCTTTTGATCAAATGGCAGCAGTGGCTCCCTAATGGTCTTTGGCTCTAGAGAGTACTCTGGGCCAGAAGCCCTATGTAATCTCCTTTCAGGGACACCAAGAAATGGTTGGGAATTAAATGGTTTTCTTAAGCCAACTTGGTTTTCCCTGGTGACTCTTAGAATTAGTGCCAGTGGGGAGAGAGCCTGCAGTAATAGGGCTTAAGCAGTACGTTCCTTTATGAAGTGTGGGCTAGAAGTATGAAGTGCCAGGCTTTGCCAAGGCTTTAAAGTGAAAGGGATTTAGGAGGGTGGGGATGTAATTGACAAAGAAAATAATGGAAAGTGTTAAGGTCAGCAGAACACAGCAGAAAATTGAGGAGAACCTTATCAGTTGTGGAGAGGAAGGGAAGTTTCTTAAGTCAGGAGAGCTGTGAAGATGGACTTCTTGCAGAGGTGGGTGCTGGTGGGTACTGGTCTGCTTATTCTCATGGGTTGGGCATTCGTTAGTACACACTGCCTAACATGTTATTTGCTGTATGGAACTTAAAAATAAATACAATATTTGTTCTTGGATCTCACAACTTAGTCAATGTAAAATACAATGCAGGTGGTTAGGAAGTAACTATTTGGTTTTCTTACTTCCTTTTTTTCTTTTTTAAGAAAAAGAAAAGCATTCTGTCTGTACTTTGTGTTCTACTTCCTTAAAGAGTACCCTTGGGCATTTAAAAGACTTTTATTATGTTTTTGTTTAAAGAGTGTGTGGTCTTGTGTTTTCTAGAGTCGGTGAGTGTCTCTCTCCCTCCTTTCTACCCTCCCCCACATCACTGACTGAAAAAACTGCCAAGGCATTAATACTGCAGAATGACCTGAATTAACGAGCTTTCAAGGTACCAGAAAGCTCCTTGAATGCCAAAATATGTGTCAGAAAACCTGGGTTTGGTTTTACACCACTAAACAATTTTTCTTTGGAGCAAGGTTTTATCCAAAATGCCTCTTTGTAGATGCAGAAAAAGATTATGTTTTTATTAATAATTTTTAAAAGATGCTATTTATTTATTTTTTAGAGAAAGGGGAAGGGAGACAGAAAGAAAAGGACAGAAACATTGATGTGTGACAGAAACATTGATGTGTGAAACACCAGTCAGTTGCCTCTCGTACACCTCCAACTGGGACCTGGCCCACAACCCAGGCACATGCCCTGGCCAGGAATCAAACTGGCAACCTTTTGGTCTGTGGCACGATGCCCAACCCACTGAGCTACACGAGTTAGGGCAATAATTTATTATATAGCACATCAAACATAAAGTTGAACTAATATCACCACACTGCATTTTTACTCTGCTTTGTTAGGGGCTATACCAGAATTGTTTCTTTCCCTCACTCACACACAGACACACACATACATACACACTCTTGTTTTTTGTGCTGGGCTTACATATTGCATTAAAACTCTGGAATATGACTGAAAAATAACATGGCATTTATTAATTTAATAAAATGTTGAATGAAGACTCTTTTACAGATACCGAATAATGAAGATGAATAACACATGTTCCCTACCCTTAAAGAAATCAATTATTATTTAGAAGGGTAGAGTATATGGAAGATAACAGACAAAAAGGAGGGTAAATAGTTTTACTATTGGATGTAGGGGTACCTAAAAGAGTTATTAGAGCTGAAGATTTTTGAGAGGGAATTGTTGACTACATAGGTGTAGAGAGAGTAGGGCTTGGGGGTAGGGGGGTGATTGGTCCAGTCCCGAACATTGCCATAGAGGCCTGAGTATCATGATACTGCAAATAACTTCACACGGTTTATGTGAAGGGTACTGTACAGAGGAGTGGGAGGACATGATGCTAGAGAGTCAGAGGAGGTTGAAGGTTATCCAGAAGGTTTTTAAATGGTTAATTAATATTAATAAAATCAGAGAAATATTATCTGGCAAGAAGGAGGAGGCCAGATTCCCGGTAAGGGGATCAGTCTGCATCTGCTTAAAGAAATCTAGGTCAAGAGCCATGACCCCATACTCTCAAAATAAGTGATTAAAAGTCAAAATGAAAATGAGAACAAAGGTATAGAATCAATAAGATGTAGTACATGTGTGGTAAAGGAGAGGGAAGAATCAGGATGACTCCCAGATAATCTGTTTTGGGGGATTTTAGAAGATGACAGTAGCCATTTTGAGAAGAAGCTGGTTTTAGAAGAACTAATAGTGAGTTTGGTGTTGGAACATGTTGATTTTGATTTGGTAAGAGACAACTCAAAAGTAAGATGTGTTCACGAGGTATTTGGATCCGGACCTCAGAATAAGAATTTGTCATTGAGGATAGAGAGTAATCATGATTGAACTCTTTAGGAATTTAAGAAGAAAAGTGTTGAGGACAAAAGAGGAACATTTGGAGATGAATGTTCTGATAAGAACTCACCGAGTTTGTCAGAGGGCACTGATTATTGCTGGTGGGGATTAGCAGCATGGTAGAAGGAAAAGCTAGATTGCAGGCTTAATTTTGTATATTATGTTGTGTTTATGTACTAAATTACAGGTTTAAGTATTTTATTAAAACTAAGAAATACTTAAAAGATACAGCTAAAATTAGAGAATTAATTAACCAACTCCTGTATACCCTCTGTACAGTTTTTTAAAACTTTTTATTTTAAAATAATTATAGACTCATAGGAGGTTACAAAAATAATACAGAGAAGTCCTCCTTTATAACCTTCACTCAGCTTCCTCCATTCACTTGTTCAGTTTAACAAATGTTCTGGGCCAGTGCCAATGCTAATGCTTGGGGTGGATTCTGGGACTGCACAGGTAGTCTAAATTTGTATTCTCTACCCCAACGTAGTGCAAGCCTGGAGTTTGGGTTTTCACAGGAGCCTCTGTTCCCCAGCTGGGCATGGCCGGCTGCCTTGCTCTTTCTCAGGGCATGTTGGTGGAGCTTCTCCAGCCTCCTTTTCACACATTAAGCAGCGCTTTTGAGGATCTTGGCTCAAAATAGGATTTTTTTTGTTTGTTTGTTTACTTCCAGCTCTCCCTGAAATAGGCTCAAAATCAGGTGTTTTATATCTGTAGGCCAGTATCCCCCTAGACTACCTTGGTGTCAGCCAGAACTTTACATCTTTGAGTTTCTTCTTTTCTGGCACCTAGAAATTTCCTTCTCCCCATCACTTTCTAAAATTCATTTATGCTAATTTTTCATGTTGATTTAGCATTTCAGTGAGTATATTTGGGCACTTGGATATATGAGTCCAGTCTGCCTTGGTGCTTGACTCAAAAGTCTAATAAGTAATTTCTTTATTTCTTATTTATTAATTTTATTCTTTGCTTTGTCCACAAAAAGGATTTGAGGTCAGATTATAAAACTCATAAAAATATTTATTTTTAAAATGGACACTACGTGAATGTGTTATGAAATTAGAAGATAAAAAAGGGTATACAGGTCTCCCTTTGCCCTGTTCCCCACTTACCCCACCTGGTTTGCTTGCATAGATGCCAGTTTCTTATGGTTCCTAGGAATAAACTGCACTAGCTTATTCTTTAACAGTAGTTTTAAACTTTGAAATAGTGTTTATAATTTAATTTTGTAACCAGCGTTCAGGATTTTTCCATCTTCTTGACAAGTAGCAATTGTAGTTTCTTTTTCTCTGAGAGTTTTGGTGGAAGAATGTTATACTAATTATATGTTACTTGTATGTTTTTGTGTATATGAATGGATTATGTGCTTTAATTTTGTTCACTTAAAAAATCCCCCAGAATGTGACAGAATTTGACAAAATACTGTAAAATGTTGATTTGAATGTGTTAAGTTATTATGTGGAATATTAAAATAATGGAACATTAGCCCTACTTTTTGGGAGGTAGTGAAAATGGTATTTTAAGATACTAGAATCTTACTGAAACACAATGAGGATATCCTTCAAAATTGTTCTGATTACTAACCAGTAAAGGCTATTGTTTGCATATGTGCAAATTAATTGCCCAAAGAAGTGAGGGGCGTCTATTAAAGTGGAAGTCCTCTAGGTTCCTTAGCCACTGTATATACTATTGTTTGCCTAACTGCAGCTTGGTGAAAATCAGTGACATGGAAGCCTATGACCTAATATGTTTTCTTCCTTAGATCAACCTCTCCACTTCTCCTACACCTGCACAGTTAATAAGCCGTTCCCAGGCTTCCAGTTCTACCAGCGGCAGTATTACCCAACAGACTATGTTGCTAGGGAGTACCTCCCCTACCCTAACTGCAAGCCAAGCTCAAATGTATCTCCGAGCTCAAATGGTAAGATGTGAGCTACCAAATTTCTTTAGTGATTAAGGACTTGAGAGAGATCAAAATGTTTCTTGATTTGATGCAGTAAGAGACATTTTAATATTTAAGAGATGTTTTACAAATTTTTTATGTGCATGTGCTTAGCTCTTGTACATTTAGGCATGATTATTTTTTAATATCAAATTTCAGTGATTTCAGATCTTTTTTCACATTTTAACATCTGAAACTGAGATGCATTTTATAACTGATGGCATCTTACAGTTATAATTGGTACTTGTAGTGATACGTAAAATCACTGTATCTTTGACATCTTAGATTTGATGAAATAGTTAGAAATGTTAAAAACTTGGTTGTTAACTCTAAGTTAGAATTTATATTTTGACATCTTCTGAAATCTGGGTTGGAGTTTCTGCTAATTTACCAGATGATTCTTAGCTTTGGTTATTCTCATCTCAAATTTTGCAAAGTGATTTGTGTACCTAAGCTCACTTTGACCTTTCATTAATATAGGAATGTTAATTTGGCTATTCTGTATTTGAGTACCTACTGACTTCCTAATTTAACTGTTGAGCTTCTTTAAGAAATGTAGAATTTCATCGACATTTCCTTTATATGATGTCATAATGGGGAGCTAGACAAAAAATATGGCCCTGTCATGTATTTATTTACTTTCTTTGTTCAAAGAATTGAATATATATCTGGATCCCTGGGTCTCCACTAAATTGCAAAGAAAGTTTCCCATTATATTTCTAACAGGAAGCAATGACATGATCCACTTTTTATTTACAGATTATTCAGTAGGCATTGCTATATTTGTTTTTTCCTCCACCATGAGCTTGTATGTAATAAATAACATGCTTCAAAATTAGGTTGACTCGCTGGAAATGGTTCTAATTTGACTATTTTTGACTGCTTGGAAGTTTCATATGGTTCAAGCTAAAAAGAGTATCTTCTCTTTATGTTTAGTGCTTTCAGCTGTTTGTACTGGAAATTAACTTGTCCTGAAAGTTATACTTTGTTGTGTAACTTACTTAACTTAATATACTATAAAGGACTGAAGTTTAAAAGATCCCCTTAATCAGTAATTTTAATTTAACCAAGAATGGTTTTGAGAAACTAAATAACTCAACGCAATTTTGAAATAGACTATTTACACATTCTTGGAAACAGCTGTCGTAATTTACTAAGTTGGATTGGATAATTTCTGAGTATATTGTATTACCTTTTTAAATTAATGGCATTTTGTTTTAATATTGAGAAAGCCAGTTGAAAAGAGATGGTGGTTAATAGTAAATGAATCAAGTATGTCTTTCCTTCCTTTATTATTATTAATTTTTGATGTGAACCTTTTTTGCAGACTGTTTTGTTGTTGAATTTTGACGCATTTTGGCATTTACATTTAGAATGAACTTCTCTTTGCAGATAGTTTTAAAATCAAGAGCAACCTAGGTTTGCTCTATAGATCCTATGGAGCTGAGTGAAAGCAGTAGTGTAGTGAATCGCATAGTTACCTTCCATAGTGAAGAAGATTGGAAAGGCGCTTGGGGGTTTCTTTTCATGTTTTTCACTTTAATTTGTATTCAGGCGTACGGACTATGGTTGTGTCTTGTAACTTACATTTTAGGAATCCTGCCTTGGTAGTTTTAAATTGGGAAAAACTTAAGTATAATAGCTTATTTGGAGCAAAATTTGGTATGAGGATTTCATATTGCCTAAATACATATTCTTTTTTTGTGCACTGATTTATTTTTCTACTCATCAGAATCATGCACTGTTTCAAAAATGTTTATGATTTTTTTAAGTTCTCTATTACCAGAAATTTCTTTGTGTCGTGTAAAACCCTTTTGCTTAGGAGGCAGTCCTAAACTGCATTGTCTTTCTGTCACAAATTTCGGTCTCCCTTGCCTGCTACACATTGTGTGTGAGACATGTTCTTTTGTCTTAGGGTATATTCTTTTGGTTTTTCTGTCTGTACAGCTGATTTTCACACCCGCTACCACTGTGGCTGCTGTACAGTCTGACATTCCTGTTGTCTCGTCGTCATCATCTTCCTGTCAGTCTGCAGCTACTCAGGTGAGCTTGTCTAGCTTCATAATGTGGAATGAGGTCCAGATCTTCAGGTTAAAGATAAACGTGCACTTGTGTTTAAATTGCTGATGGTTTCAGTGCTCTTTGTCATACATTTCAGATTGAAATTTAATAAAATATGATAAGAACTTCAAGAAAGTTTTCTTCTACAGAAATTATAATACCATTAAACATGGATATTTAGATTGACATTAGTGAAAATGAGTTTTTGCTATGACATTGTATTTAGTTTTATTGTAAAGCAGTTATATTTCTTATTTGTGAGATGTATTCTTTTGTGTAGATTCCTTTGCAAGCAGTTATGTAATCATTTAATGACTAAATCAAGATGGGTTTTAAGATTAAAAATAAATTGGGTGAATTTTAAATTTAAAAAATTGAATAGAAGATTACTTTTTTTGGTATTATGGAAAAGTGGACTGGTACTTTCTCCTTATACGATTCACAAAAATGAAATAGAATTTTAACTTAAAGTTAATACCCAAAACTGTAAAACACACAGAAGAAAACATAAGTAATATCCTCACAACTTTAGAATAGACAAATCTTTTTTAGTCACAAAAAGCACTAATTATAAAAGAAACTAAGTTGGACTTTATCAAAATTGAAAACTGTTCTTCAAAAGACATTGTTAGAAAAATGAAGAGGCAAGCCACAGAAAGTGTTCATAATATGAATATCCGACAGGACTTTTACTCAGAATATGCAAAGTATGCTTACAACCCAATAATTTAGTATCATGGGGAAAAGATGTGAACACTTCATAAAAGAAGATATGCAAAAGGCCGACAAGCACATGAAAAAATGCTCAACACCATTAATCATTATAGAAATGCAGATCAAATCACAGTGGATGTCACTACACACCCACTAGAATGGATGAAATGAAGGAGACTGGTGAGAATGGGGAGCAGCCATATTCTCATACATTGCTGGTGAGAGTGAAATTGGTACGGCCACTTCGGAAAACAGCTTGTCAGTTCCTTACAAAGTGAAACATGTGTTTAACCTGTAACCCAGCAGATCCATTTCTAGATGTGTTCTGTGAGAGATCTGAAAATATGTATCCGCATAAAGATACATAAATGAATATTTATAGCAAGTTTATTCAGAATAGCCTCAAACTGGAAACAACCAATGTTCTTTAACTGGTTAATGGATACATTGTGGGATATTATTTTTTTAAAAAAAAGCTACTGATGCATCTTAGGAACATTGTAATTAGCAAAAGAAGCCAGACACCAGAGAGTACATACTCTGATTCCATTTATATGAAAGTTCAGAACAGGTAAAACTAGTCTATAGTGAAGAAAATCAGATTGGTGGTACCTGGGGCAGAAGGTGGAGCAGAGTGACTGGGAAGGGGCATGAGTGAGCTTTCTGGGTGATGGTGATGTTCTGTATCTGATTGGAGTGGTGGTAACATGTTGAATACAGATGTCAAGACTCATTGAACTGGTTCGTTCATGTTACTCTATATAAGTTATACCTCAGTAAAGTTGGTAAAAATAAATTAGTAAATTTTCATTTAAAACAAGTAAAATATTCTACTTAATTGTTTGACTACTTAATTGTATGAAACAATTTAGGTATTTTTCCATAGAAATTGGTATATCATAGGATCATCCTTGGCTTCTTATTTTTAATTTAATAGTCTTAGTCTTCTGGTAAAAAGCAAAAAATTAGATGATAATAATATTTGACCCTCTTTACACATTTTATTTAATGATAAAGGCTTATTTTAATATATTAGCATATAAATATGTTGATCAATTAAAGTTAAGTTTTTCCTCATGTGTTCTGTGACCCTGCACAATTCCTGAGCTTTGTTGAACTTTAGTTTTCATATTTACAAAATGAGCCCTTTGTCTTTGTTAACTTTAAGGGGTTTTTTTTTAGCTCTAAACTTTTATAATGTCTCTTTGTGAAATGGATTGGTTGAAGTAATGATTTTTCTGTTTTTTTTTAAACCTAATAGAGCTAGACCATTATCAACTTGCAGAATGTTTTCAGTTTTAATTTTTACCTTATTACACCTAAAAATTTAATTGATTTACAAGATGCATACAATAAAACAAGATAAACTGAAAGTATGTAGGGAAAAAAAGCACAAATACAGGAAAGTGGCATGGAGCTAGGAGTGAGATTGCTATTCAGATTATGTGCTTGAAGTCTGGCATGGACTTCAGTTCAACTCCCACTTCCATTATTTATTAGTTTTATGGCTTTAGACAAGTTATCAAAAATCTGTAATAGTTGTACATACTTGCAGGGTGAGTTGAAGACTGAGTAATATGTATGTTTAGCGTCTAGAACATTATAGGCACTCATTAGTACTTTTTTTGCAAGGGCGGGGGTGGAAAGACTTGGGTCCACATTCTGACTTAAGCAACAGTTGCCAGCTTTGTCACTTGCCAGTTGACTGATTTTGCACAAGGTCATAGAATAGCATAGGGTTCATAGGTTTGGACTCTGAACCCAGACTGTCTGGGTTCGAATACATATCCTACCACTGTCTCATTAGATTTCCTTAATCTCTTGCCTCTGTTTCAACAATATAAAATAAACAAAATATTTATAAGAGAATTATAATGTTGATTTCATAGGGTTGTAGTGAGGATTAAATATGTTAATAAGTGAAAAACAGAACAGTGATACATAGTTAGCACTCATTAAATGTTAGCTTTTATTATTACCTTTGTTAAAGCTCAGTTTCTTCACTGTAAACTAGAAGTGATAGCTCAGAGTTGTTACAGGGAATAAAGGAGACAATGATCATAAAGTACTTAGCACACTGCCTAGCATGCTTAGTATTAGATGCCACTAATTCCTATTTTTGTTATACGGGATCCGACAGAAGTAACACCTGCTTGTATGTGGTCAGTTAGGGTACATACATGCATGTCTTGCACAAGATGGACAGCAATTTGAACATTTCATCTAAAATGTCATATGGGGTGCTTGAGTGTGATATTGTGTTTATGTGTGATGGATTACAGAATTACATGCTTATGATTGTGTAATAAAAGATTTTGTAATAGAAAAGGGCAGTGTTTGTGCCGGACCCTATATATCGTCTAAAGACTAGTCACACACACACACAAGACTAGTCACAAATCTGGTTCTTAGCTTTGGAGAACCAAGGGAGCTAATAGTGAAGAGAGAAATACAGTCATTTAAAGGGTTTTCAGTTTCCAGGGTAAAGTAAACAAGTTAGGAAAATACAGCGAATATGCTCTTTGGAGCACAATTTGTCTTTTGGGTTTTTACCGAGAAAATATCTTACAGTGCCTTTAATAGTATAATGATCATAGTAAAGTAGTTTATAAAGTGGCTTCAGTTTAATGTGATGCAGGCACATGGTTCAGTGATAACATGACTTAATTCAAGGATATTTTCAGGGACCTTTAGGAATTTTTCTACAAATGTTTTTCTCTGCTATGCTTTTGAAATACAGTTTATGAAGCTGACAGTGGGAAGTGATGCTAATACTTTGAATATACCAGTGGTAACTTTCCTCAGGTTCAGGGCTGTTAGTTTTGAAAAAATTTATGCTCTACTTTGTTAATTTTAAAGCTTATATTTTAAGTTTTTAAAATAAATAGTGTAATTGAGAAATATCAGATTTCAAGTTTATACTCTTTGAGTGATAGAAGTCAGTGTAACAGTTAATTTTTTTAGTATTAAAATTTATTTATAGCACACCATGAAAAAGTGAGAAATTTTGAATATTTTACCCTTATAAATTATTTAAAATGCTCCATCCCTTCTCAATACCATGTAAAAAATTTCTTTAATTTAGGAAAAAAATCTCATTTTCAGAAAGATATGATAGTATCTGGGCAATGCTGTGAGAATGGAGAAGAAAACAGCCCTTGGGATTTAAAACCTAGAAACTCAGCTCTACTGCCAGCAGTGCGACTTTAACTCCTACTTTCCTCATATGTAACAATGAGATACACAGTAATTCACACAGTATTTCTTAAATTCAAATTGAGAAATTGGTATAAGAGTATTTGGGTAATCCACTGTAAAGTGTGAAATTAGCTAAAGACTTCAGGTGAAATTTAGACTTTTTCAAAAGTCAGAAAGTTTTCATAATTTGATCATTGGAAAAGTTTAGATGACACTTGAATATCATTGTGCCCTAATATTTTTTATTGAGACAGGGTGTGTTCTCTTCAAAGGTGAAGCTCTGTCTAGGAAAGCTGAAAATGTAATCTTCCTATTAATAGCTAAATTAACTTTGTAATAATCTTTAGAAGTGTAGTTTACATGTTTGAAATTTACTGTAAATATTTAAGTGAAGATGACTAAAGATGATATAGCCATAGTCTAAAATGTATCTACTTATAGAAATAATATATGAATATATGCACACACATATATTTTCTTCTAGAATTCCAGAAGGCAGAAGGAAAATTAAAAGAGTAAGTGATTCTATAGAAATGGGCTGCCACATGTTTTAGGATTCACTGTGTCAAATCTTCATTTACATTTTTGAATATATATTCAAAAGCATATTTGAATATATATGCTTTTCATATGAAGTAAAGTTTTCAGATTTTCAACTTTTTAAGATTTTAATATGCCTCCACTAAATATTTGTTGAGATTTTTTGGTAAACTATGAACAGGTTTTATCGTTAGCCCAAGAAAACCATAAATAGAACTAAATACAGAAATATAGCCAGGTAATACATATTTCAGAGTCAGATACAAGAGAATACCTGAGACTTGTGGAGTTTCTGTTATGTCTGCAGCCCAGAACTGTGGGGTGTGCAAAAATGAATGTCAGAGATGAGAGCCTGCCAGCCAGAGGCTCAGTATTGCACACAGACATGAGTAATTATAAAATAAGCTAGACATTAGTCAGTGCTACAGGCTAGTATGATCCATATTCTAGGGGAAAAGCATTAGATAGAGGAGGGGAAATTATTTCTAACTCAGGACTTTGGGAAAGATTCTTTGGGAGAGTGAGTGGGATTTTTACTGGGCCTTGAAGGAGCATTGAGGAAGAATGGCATTTGAGCAAGAGGAACTTGAGCAAGGGTTCTATTGAAGGAAGCCATGGAAAAGAAAGGGTGAGTAAAACAGTTGGCTAGAATTATGAGTATTGTGGATTGCAGTAGTGGAAACTTGGGGCTTGAAGTGGTTTCGGCCTTGACTTTGAAGGGTTTTGAATGGCAAGCTGAGAAGCCTGGATTTTTAGCATATTTTATTTTTGCATTAATTTCAATAATACAGCAGTTTTTACTCTACTTACATTGCTATGAAATATTTGACAAAAATCAGAGAAGATACTTCTTATGGTTTCACTTAGAAGATCAATAGCTTAGTGTAGAACTGAGGAAAACCTCCACTTCCTGAGGTAAACATTTGTTTAGCACTTGCTATTGGCTGAACACTGCATTTGGCACCTGGAAAGAGAAAGTGTAGCCTTTGGGCATCAATTAATGATATAGTTGTAGAGACAGAACATATGAAACTGGAGACCATTCATAAAGCAGCAGTATATCATTTGCTTTGTCAGCTTACAATCTCTTTCACTTCAGTGTCCTTCCCAGGGCTAGTGCTGGTGGAAATGTATTTGGTGCATTCATGCCAGATGGTCAAAAACTGTGGCAGCTGTTGGAGAGGTGTATTCTGCCTGGCTGTTTGGGAATGTCACAGACCTCCTGTGACTGTAACTGGGATGTTCCTTGCCACCATCCAGATTGGCAGTATGTTTAGAATAGCGCTGGTTATAGACAGGAGCTATACAGAAACCATTTCAAGGCCACACACAGTCTTTTCAGTTCATGAGGTCAGGTTCTCAAAAGCAGGTGAGTGTTCCATAGAACAACAACAAAAAATCCAACTTATCTTTAAAAAGGAGTTCATGGGAAATGATTTTCATAATTATCATGGTGGGATAGGTGATTTGATGAATTAGTTTTCTTAACTAGATTAATGTTCTCTTATAATCTCTGTAGAGCTGGTAACTTTTTTGTTATCCCTTTCTTACCTTTATTAAGACAACAATATTGTATCCATACTCTCCTAATTATGTAAGTTCATGAGATACTTGTAACCTTAAAATGTTTCACAATCCTGGCATGGAGCAGTCAGACTGAGGTTGAAGGAATTGCTCTTTCGTCCTAACACACCTTGGACTTCCCCACCTCTGCAACTTTCCTAAAGTTTTCCCCTTTACCTGGAATGACTTTCCTCTTTCTCCTTCTCTTTGGCTGTCCCCAAGCTGGTAATAACTTAAAAATGCAGAGCAATTTACTTATAGTTCATTGTTCATATATGTATTCTATTTTAATTTAGTTCTTAATGATTTTTTTTTAATGTTCTTTCTTAAAATGTCATTTAATATTTAAGATTCAATTACTTAGAATAATAACTCCCTTTCAAGATGTATCACTTGCTTCAAGAGCTTGGAACTTCATATATGAAAAGCATGATAGAAATGCGTTGTCATTATTGTTATAAGGTTGATGATTACTACATCAATTAATACCATCTGTTTCATCCGTATTTTTTGTTATGTGGTTCTTAGGTTCAGAATTTAACATTACGCAGCCAGAAGTTGGGTGTGCTATCTAGCTCACAGAATGGTCCACCAAAAAGCACTAGTCACACTCAGTCATTGACAATTTGTCATAACAAAACAACAGTGACCAGTTCTAAAATCAGCCAACGAGATCCCTCTCCGGAAAATAATAGGAAAGGAGAAAGCCCAAGTCTGGAGTCACGAAGTACCGCTGTCACCCGGACATCAAGTATTCACCAGTTAATAGCACCAGGTGGGATAAGACTTTTGTTGAAAGTAATTGCATTTTTATCTTCTTAGCAGGCAGAGCAAAACAAAAGATGTCCATTACTTGCATAAAAATGACACTTTTAAAGGATTTTAAAATGTGGATTTCATCAGTTAAAAAAAATCTTAATTTTGTAGTTTGAAAAAAGAGAAATCAAAAGAGCCCAACAGCTAAAACAATTTACAGTAATAAAATAGATTTATTTTTGTCAATTGACATTTAATTAACATCTTCATTATGTGCTGCTCTCATTATAGAAGTAAGACCTTTTAGCTTAGAAGCAAGATTTGTCTTCAGTTCATTTGGTATGCTTTAATGGAACAAAATCAAAAGCCTTTTAGAGAGCAAGGTTTTTAAAACTGTTATTAGTGGGAGGGATTTATCACTTTCCAAAAATAAGGATTATGCACAATTATTTACCTTACCGTGTTGCTTTTTTCGGTCTCGGATTTCATCTCCAAGAGGAAGGTGTCAGGGAATCAACTAAGTCATTTTCATTCTCATCAGCCTTTGAATCCCACCTGCACTTCTGCTGTCCACAGATAACCTTGCGTCCTGGTTCTCATGCTGAAAATGTTGGAGCCATCTGGAGTGAGTTTCCTTCCCACCTCTCCTCTTCATCTCAGAATTTGTCATTGTTGAGCTTTCTTTACTCCTTTGTAAGATAAGGAATTGCCTGCTTTCTTCTTTCAAGTTAGCATTATTTGCTTGTGTCATTGATCACATTATTTTTACCGGCTCCTGACCCTCTTTCATATTTATTGTATCTTTTGTCTCCTTCATGCTGGATTTGTTCCTTTGCTTCTCCAGCATACCTAGGTCTCCCCTAATCTTAACATATATGCACAAGTTTTTATACCAGTATAACTACTGTTTATTTAAAGTGTGTGTGTCTAGACACCTCACATGTGTCATTAAATTAAAAACAAAACCTTTGATCCAACCTTAATCAGGTAGGCACCTTCTTTCTAACCTTTTATAAATCTGCATTACTTTTTAAAGAATCATTTTACACTACCGAAGTCTGTATTTTCTCCACCTAAGCCTATTTCTCTTTTTATGTTTCCTCTGTGCTAATATTGCCAATGTTCTCTAAATCACCCAGTCTCAAAATGTTGGAATTGTTTGATTCCCCTAGCTAGAAATCTGTCATTACTCTGAACTTTTATAGCATTTTTGTGTTCCTCTATGGCAGTTTTCCTGTTATAGTTACTTATATACTTACTGATCTTAGCTTTTCTACTGAATGGTAAGCTCTTCGAGGCTAGGATAATATGGAGCATTTGTGTGTCAGGCACTTTACATTTATTAACTCTTTTAATCCTTTTTTTCAGATTCCCCTTTTCATCCTTTGATCTCGACAGTACTAAGTTATGCTGTATTGTACTTATCTGCAATAGGGGGACAGGAATATTTGTTGGATTAATAGCTGATTTTTTTTTCCATTCGAATTCTGGAACTTATAGCACAGTTTTTTTTTATTTACATTAAGTGGGTATTAACTGCTTAGAATTCTTAAGTTTGAATCTTAGATAAGTGTAGTCATTATGATGTGTAAATTAATAAATTTATTCATAGTATAGTTAGATTATAGTTATAGATGTGAATTCTTTTTTATAAACATGTGCCAGCTTCTGCCCTCTGTATGGCTTGATAACAGGATTTTTATGCTGAATTGTCCAGAGTATTCTCAGCCTCAAACTAGCCTCTAGCCAGTGTTGATAGGAGTCAGTGACAAGCAGCAGTGACCCGTTGTACTTGGAATGACTGACTGCTTGGGATAATATTTAGTTCTGATAGATTAAACTACCATACTTTTGATAGATTATAATAAAGGGTAAGTTAATTTCCTTCCAGAGAGAATGCTACCTTCAGAGAAAGCGAGGGCCTCTTTCAGGGTTAGTTCAAGCAAGGCCATCAACTTTCAGATTTTCAGTCTCCCCAAACTCCCTGGTTCTAAGTTGACACTTATTCTTCCCCCTTGCATTGATAGTGTGGTAAGTCTTTAGTTGTCTCCCTCTGATGGCCAGTATATTTTGTAGGCTACCATCAGAGTCCCAGGAATATTGCAATTCAAAATTCAGATGCTATGCGAGGTAACCAAACTCTAGCATTTTATAGTGTTGTTGGTGAGAAACGAAATCAAATGAAACATCCTAAGACAAAGATGTCAAACTCATTTTCACTGGCCACAGTGAAACTCATTTCAGGGCCACATCAGCCCCGCAGTTGCCTTCAAAGGGCCAAAATAATATTAGGACTGTATACATGTAACTACTCCTTAAATTTAAGGAGTTGAAATTACACTTGGCTTTTTTTTGGCAGACATTAATTAAGTATGTAATGAAAAGCCTGTATTAGCCTGCTCAGACTGCCATAAAAAAATACCATAGACTGGGTAAGTTCTGGAGGCTGGAAAGCCCAAGATCAAGATTTAGCAGTGTTTGGTTTTTGGTGAGAGCTCTTTCTGGCTTGCAGATGGCTGCCTTCTACCTGTGTCCTCACATGGCCTTTCACCTGAGGGCTGGGAGAGAGGATGTTGAGCTCCCAGGGACCTCTTACAAGGGCACTAATTCTCTTAGGTCAGGGTTCCACTTTTCTGACCCCATTTAACCTTAATTACTTCCTTAGAAGCCCTGTCACCAAATAGTCACATTATTAGGGCTTGGGGCTTCAATATACGAATTTTGCTGGACACATTCAGTCCATAGTAGGAACTCAGACTCAGTTAGGACTATGGGTTCATGTGATTTCAGGCAAGCCACTTAATGCTGAGAGTTTCTTCACCTGTCATATATTGGGTTAGTGTAGTACTTTGTCTATCTACCTCATGGGGGTTGTTGGAACTATTGAATGAGGTAATGTATTTAGTAATTTACAGTAATCTATTATTTAGAGTAATTAAAGAGTTCCACTGCATTAAGTAAGATGATGCCAATCATAAATTCTCCAGATATAATGCCACCCTGACAGTAATAAAATATTTATTAAGATCAGACAGAAAATATATGATTCAGGAACGCTAGGGCTTTCCTCATACAGAAGTATTGTTTCAGATACCCTCATAATTATTCTGTAGTAGATGTGCTTGTCAGTTGGGCTTATGGAGTACTAGACTCACTTTGATTTCTCATCAAAGAATTTAATCTAGGTGAAAGGATAGACTATTAATCTGCTGAATTATCAGCTCCAGAATATTAAAAAAGATTGCTTACTTCTAGAGCACAGAAAGAATTTTTATTCCTGTAAATATAATACTCATTATACTTAAAGAATACGCTGAATTTTAATTATAATTTAAAAGCTGAATTAAAATGGGCCTTTGCTGTTAGGCTTGCAAACACTCTATTTCTTTATCTGTGAAGGGGGAATAATAATATCTGTCTATATGCATTTTTTTAGTACAGTGGGCCACGCGGAAGTACCTTGAGCTCCTTAGGAAAGGCCTCTATAGAAACCCTAGATTTCATTAAATACTCTGCTAGGGGCTTTGTCGGCACATTTATGAAGTGCTGACATACATTTTCAGTCTTAGTTTGAAGTGCTAGCCTCATATATGAAAATTATTTTGTTAGATGAAATTTTAGGTCTAATTTCCATGAAGAAAAGTTTGTTGAACTTTCTAAACACCTCTTTTTGAGATGTTAATCAGAAGTTAATTTCCTTAAAGGATCTCCAAGACTTTAAATACCAACCAACCAAGTGTTAAAAAAGTTCTTCCAAGTTTTTATAAGGCCTTTGTCACAAATGTGGTTGAATATAAAAACAGATGCAAGACAAGTTTATGGTCTTTATCCTAAAATTCAGAAATTAAAAAAAAATTTGCCCTGTCTTTAAGTCTGTTTTAAATGTGTATAATTTCTACATGATATTAATATTAAGCTATCTTTTTAGTTTATCTTCTAGTAAACTCTGTTTCTTTTTTAAATTTATTTTTAATTACAGTTAACATACAGTGTTATATTAGTTTCAGGTATACAACATACTGATTATACATTGATATATAGTGAACCCAGTTTCCATGCTTACTGAGATAGAGGGGATTTCGCAAGCATATCCCTCTGTGTAAACATAAACACCAGTATGCAAAAGAGGCGTACTGATGGGGATATTTGATTTTGTTAGTTCTTTATGTATATTATCTCTGTTGTGAGTGACTCCTCTGGAGAAAACAGGTACTATCACTTAATAGATTACTGTAGATTTTTTTATTTGCTTGTTTTTCTAATTGGGAAGGAAGTAAAACAAAATCCTTTATTTAGATACATGAATTTCTGATTGCCTCATTCTCTCTAAGCAAAATTAGAGCTCTCCTAGATTTGGAAGGGCTGCTGAAATTTCATTTCTTAGTTACAGAGATTATTTGACCATGCTCTAGGAGCTACACACGTCTCTTGCTTAATTGAAGTAACTTTTTATACAAAAACCTTTTCTCCTCCTGGGTTAAATAATACCAACTCTTTATCTTGGCTCGATTTGGTAACTTATTTGGGAGCCTTTATAAGTAATTACATTATTGATTAGTTGGAAAAATATTTAGACATAAATTAGGAAGGATGAGACTTATTTTATGGACTCTAATATTGCATTGTTCTGATTTTCAGGTTTTCTTTATATATACTGTATTATACTTGTTCAGTGATATTCCTCTTTTCCCCAAAGAAGGAATTCTAGTAGATAAGCTAATACAGAGATTCTGAGAACCTACAAAATTTAATAAGAATAAATCGTGTAGGTTCAGATTTATAAATTAACTGCTTTAGGCAATTTTCTCTTGGAACTTGCCACAGCACAGCTTATTTAATGAAATTTATAGTTTTCCAAGAAAGGGATGTTGGCCATTGTATTTTCAAGTCACTCTTGTCTGGAAGACTTTTTGATAGATTTCTGATGATTATGATCTTCTGATATAAACACTTTCCTTCTTTAAATTTATTTTTAAATTTTATGATATTTTTGAAATAAATACTAATTCTTTTTTTTTCTCTCACAGCTTCATATCCTCCAATTCAGCCTCATCCTCTAATAAAACATCAGCAGATTCCTCTTCATTCATCACCTCCCAAGGTTTCCCATCATCAGCTGATACTACAACAGCAGCAACAGCAAATTCAGCCAATCACACTCCAAAATCCAACTCAAGATCCGCCCCCATCCCAGCACTGTATACCACTCCAAAACCATGGCCTTCCTCCAGCTCCCAGTAATGCCCAGTCGCAGCATTGTTCACCAATTCAGAGTCATCCCCCTCCCTTAACAATGTCTCCTAGCCAGTCACAGTCAGCACAGCAGTCTGTGGTGGTATCTCCTCCTCCACCTCATTCACCCAGTCAGTCTCCTACTATAATTATTCATCCACAAGCACTTATTCAGCCACACCCTCTTGTGTCATCAGCTCTCCAGCCAGGGCCAAACTTGCAGCAGTCCACTGCTAATCAGGTGCAGCCAACAGCCCCGCTGAATCTCCCATCCCATCTTCCACTTTCAGCTTCCCCTGTTGTACACATTGGCCCAGTTCAGCAGTCGGCCTTGGTGTCCCCAGGTCAGCAGATTGTGTCTCCAGCATCACACCAGCAATATTCAACCCTGCAGTCCTCTCCAATCCCAATTGCAACCCCTCCGCAGATGTCGACATCTCCGCCAGCTCAGATTCCACCACTGCCCTTGCAGTCTATGCAGTCTTTACAAGTGCAGCCTGAAATTCTATCCCAGGGCCAGGTTTTGGTACAGAATGCTTTGGTGTCAGAAGAGGAGCTTCCAGCTGCAGAAGCTTTGGTCCAGTTGCCATTTCAGACTCTTCCTCCTCCACAGACTGTAGCGGTAAACCTACAAGTACAACCACCAGCACCTGTTGATCCACCAGTGGTAAGCCCTTGGAAGCTCTTTGACTTTCTTGCTGAACTGAAAGTGAAAACTTTCCTCCTACATTATGTTATATCACTAGAGCTACATGCCTGTGAATTTAAAAAGCCTGAAATTTCCATCTCTTGGTGTCTGACAAACATGCTGTATGGGCAAAACATTTGCCATTTGTTGTAATACGGTTGCATGCTTGATAATTTGTGATGGTTATTAAAGTCCCTCGTTAATTTTATTACTATTTAAACAAATCCATCTGCTATCTTTACAGAGTTGATTTTTTTTCCCCAAGGGAATGCATTTGAACCAGTGTCATCTGCACAAAGTTTTTTCTCTTAAGGTGATTATCCTTCATAGATCCCTTCTGTTGGCTTGTATGTTCTTAAACGTATCGTTTATCTGGCTAACCTTTTTGCTCGTGTGCATTCTGAAGTCCTGGGCCTTTAGGAGCTATTGTTTCAAGGGTATGCTTGTATGTTACATTTTTTGGTAAAATTATCTTCTGTAATTAAAATTGTAAAAACATCTATGGTAGGAAAGAATACAACTTTACAAAAACTAACTGTAGACCATTTTTTAGAATTATTAAACTTCTCAATTTAAAATTTTTACTATGGGAAAGTATAAACTTAGAATATTTCTCACTTCAAAAGTTTAAAACATCTCAGTTGATGAATTGAATACTGAGGATAAAAAAGTCCATTGGGAAGAGTAAAAGTTTTGAATAAATTAGATTATGGTGAAATTTATCAGAATAAACCTCTAAAAATGGTACATGTTGCCTAGGAAGGAAAATCGTCTTGAAAATATTTTTCTTTAAACATTCTCTAAAGGACTTTTAAAATTTATTAAATAATTTACAATAAAAATTTAATAAGATCTCAAAACTTTTAGGCAGAATGATCAAATTCATAATTTACAACTGAAGAAAGCAGCCTTCCCAAAGGGAGGTTTATGTCTTTACAAAAAGACCTCAGCAAAGGGATTTTATCACTTAAAGACCAATAACCATTTGCTCACAAAGGAAAAGAGTTTCCAAGTCTGTTTTTAATGGGAAACATTTTTGTCCCTAGGATGCAAATTTATAGGTTCTTTATTGTCATTAAAACTGACAGTAATAGGCGTAAAGAGATTGAATTCCATTTCCTATTCACTTTTATTGAAGACAGAACTTAACAGAAACAACGAGCATCTGGAAATAAGTTTGTCATTTAATTTTCTTTCAATGGAGTTTTGGAGAGTTTACAATGGATATTGTAACAAAAACATAGGCTTTGAAGAATGCAGTCCCTTCAAAGAAATCAAATTTAAATTACTTCTTTCTAGTTCAGTCTGTTGGTTTTTAACAAGTAAAAAATAAAATTTCTCTATATCCCTTATATTTTTGTGATTGTTTTTGTTAGGGTAAACTTTGCAGGAACAAATTTGGGGTACAAATATCAAAAACAAAGCACTTAAAGCTAAAATATTTATGGTCTTAATTTGTTATTTTCTGTTCTCAAGTTTTTTTTCAATTAATGTTACTTCATTTTTGGACTTCGTGTGTGTGTGAAAATGATAACTTTCTCTGCTGTTACTGGTATGGTGGGTCATACTTGCTATTGATATTTCCATGTTATCTTTCTTATACCTTTCTTTGAGTACCATAGCCTATTTATTAAACTGTTTTCTTTTTCTTGTTTATCTTTGACAAAATGCGTTTTATTAAATAACACTTCTTCACAAATTATACCTTTCTTGACAATTTCCTGGTTGTTTTAAATATTTAAAGTAGAAGGATATATTTACTTCTTAAGAGATTTGAATTTTGAAAGATAAGTGTGAAATATCAAAGTAAAACCAGTATGTTTTTAAAGAGATAATGTTTGTAAAAGATGTAAAACTGAGGTTATTCATTGATGTTTGGGTATGATAAGATGTGGTGAGAGTAGATAATTTAGAACTAATCAATATTCCATGGTTTATTTAGGAAAGGGAGACAGATGGGACTAATGTACTTTATTGAGGTAAGTTTGGCAGGCATTGCTAGTTTTAGAGTAGTGGTTACAAGCTAAACAGAAATTGTGACGTGCAGTTTCCTAATTATCTTGTCAGCAAAACCTCTACTTCTTTGCTTTTTTCAGTATTTTAGTTGTTGCCTTTAGATTTTTTATGCTGATGCTGCCAGATATCTGTGACAGATCTGCTTTCGTCTGCTTCTTTTACTTATGAACTTATCTTGCGCTTACATGGGCGATTTAGAAGAATGTAATAATGAATGAATAATATTTTACAGCACTCTTTGATGGATTATTTCAGAATATGCTATTTGTGTATGCCTCTATCTTTTACAATTCTCATTTTTTAAAAATCAGAGTTCTATACGTGATCAAACTTTGATTCCTTAAAAGGTACTGTAGTAGGTGCTGGAGAAATTTGTGACAGCATTACTATTAAAGAGAGTTTAGCATTTTAAGAAAAGATAGTGATCTTTGGAGGAAAGGTAATGTCTCTAAGAAAGGAATACTACACATAGACACTGTTGAACTGGTGGGTAGATCCATACTTGTCTAGTGACCTCTGAATCAGTATTCCCACCACTCTACCAAACACGAGACATCAGTACTATAGCAAATGCCCCTCACTAGAAGGGTCCCCCCTTTAGCCCCAGGACTTTTTTTGGATGAGTTTCTCTGTATTGGGTATTATCTTCATTTAAAAAAAATTATGTACAGATATTAGGGGCTATCATTATTGCACATTGTACAGTAACAAACAACTGCTTTAACTTCTGAGGGTCCAGACATGAGTCAAGGAATCTGTTGGTGAAACAGATTTCCATATGCAGACTTATGAGCAAATATTTTTAAATGTCTACTTAGTAGCTAATTTAGATCACATTTCTGGATATTATACTTGATAGAAAATTATCAGTAACAATAAGATTTTTTAAAAAGTTCAAAGCAAAAGATTTCTTAATAGAGGCTTGGAAAGTTTCTTTTTTTTTTTTTTTAATATCACCGTGGTTAGATACGGTCTGGTTGTTCTGTTTCCAGAAACCTTGATCATTTTTGTATTTAATTTTATGTACTTCGAATCAAACTCTATCAATAGTTTGATTAAAAATACATATAATATGAGAAATAAAGTTTTTTGATAGTGTTGAAAGGTTTTTGTTTTAACATTTGTTAGAAATATTCATCAGTTTAGGTAAATAATCTTAAAAACTCACAAGCTATGTACATTTAAGTACATACAAAGCTTTGTACATAAAAGAAGGGAGATGAACTGCTTGTGGCTTTTTAAAAAACCTATTATTTCAAAAACAATGGTTAAATAAATAATAATGATGAATTATAATTCCTGTGTCAGTCCTTAGAAGTGGGTTTTGAAAATTCAGTTTTAGTCCTGGCTGGTGTGGCTCAGTGGATTGAGCGCGAGACTGTGAATTAAAGGGTGGCCAGTTCAATTCCAAGTCAGGGCATATATATGCCTGCGTTGTGGGCCAGGTCCTCAGTGGGGGGGTGCATGAGAGGCAACCACACACTGATGTTTCTTTCCCTCTCTTTCTCTCTCCTTTTCCCTCTCTAAAAATAAATAAATAAATAATTTAAAAAATCAGTCTTAATGTTATTGAAAAATTAATGTTATATTTTGTTGTATGGTTCCTCTCTGAGTGCTTTTGAACCCATGTTTAAGTATAATCTTTACTATTGAATAATAAGATAAGTTAAAGACTTAAAACTTTGTTATTATAGACCAGTATTAAAGAACTAAAATTAATGTATGAAATGGGTTAGGATGGTGTGTGTGTGTGGTATTTCAAGGACAGATATTTTCTGTTTACCTGATATTTGATTAAAAAAAGACACATTAGATTATTGAGTAAATCAGACTATTAAAGGAAGATATAATTATATGCATATCTTTTTTGTAGGTACTCAGATACTACCTTTTATAACTTAATCTTTCACGTACATATAATAAAGAGCCTTGGGTATAGTCCTTTAGGCAGTACATTTCCTGATATAGTGTGTGTCATTTTAGAGACTTAATATGCTTGTGAAAAATAGTATCTATTTTGATTTATCACAATTAGAAGTTAAAAAATTGTAAATTCTCCAAGTAGAGCATATAAAATCAAAACATTTCTTTTAATTCTCAAAATTGAAAATATGTCCTAACGTGGCTGTCACCTTTTGAAAACTTTAGTCATTTGTAACAAAGATACTGATCTACAACTTGGTTTTAGTGAACTATTGTCAATTACTTGTAAAACTTCATTTTTTAAGTTTTCAAACTATAAAATAATCATTTTGCCTTGTTTTAAATTTCAAAACACTTGGAATTTATTTTTCTTTAAGTTAAGAACACCTCATTAAATATATTTTTTAGCAACCTTTTAAGGCAGTACGGTTTGTCGTTGCAGGTTTATCAAGTAGAAGATGTGTGTGAAGAAGAAATGCCGGAAGAGTCAGATGAGTGTGTCCGGATGGACAGAACCCCACCACCACCCACACTGTCTCCGGCAGCTATTACTGTGGGGAGAGAAGATTTGACTTCTGAACATCCTTTGTTAGGTAAGGAAACATCAAACTGGGGGGAATGTTTTATTAAATAAATGTTAGTAATGGCAAAGTGGTTTTTCCCCACTACAGATGGTGTTAAACTAATTTGTTATGTAATTGATTGCAGTAAAACATACATTAGAATTAAAGATCTTTTTTTGAAGAGGAACAATTAGAACAGTTGATGAGGAACCACCCAAATGAAAAGCATATTGTAGCTTCCTAATTTTTATTGGTTTGTTACAGATGTGTTTCATATGATCAGATTCGTGTGTCAGGCTATTTTTAGCTTAAAAATTGGAATAAGTCAAAGTTCTATCAAAAGATTTCAATTATACTCTCCCCAAAGCACAAAGCATTCTAGGTCGTATCTGGCATTCCTCATAGTTGCTTGTAATCTAGACTCAATAAATGCTCTAAAAAGTGTTTTCTCCCATACAATACTTAGTAAGTCTCACTGATTCTTACTGGAGATGTATTAAAAATTTTTTGAGCTTAAGCATTGAAATTCTTATTCACTACTTGGGTGCTACTTTTAAGTTGAAGTAAATCTTTTATATTCTCCTGACAATATCCAAGTGACTGTCAGTATGATCTGTAAGCCCAGAGTCTTAGACCTAAAAAAGATACATTCTGTGTTAGGGTTTTTTATAAAAAATTATGAATATTATTTTAGGTCGGGGCTTGCAAATGCTCATGCTTTAAATCTTTTCTGCTGCCTGTTTTTGTATGGTCCATGAGCCAAGGATAGTTTTGAAATTTTTAAATGGTTTAAAAAAATCAAAAGCAGAGTAATATTTCCTGTCATGGGAAGATTATGTGAAATATAAATTCCATTGTGCTTTAAAAAAGTTCTCTACAATGCATCCATATTCATTTGTTCATATATTATCTGTGGCTACTTTTGTGCTATTGCAGCAAAGATGAGTAGTTGCAAAGATCACATTGTCCTTTATAGAAAGTTTGTTTACCCCTGATCCAGGTAATACCAATGTTGGTTCAGGCTTTGCTGTAAGTATTCTGTCCTATTGACTATCTCTTGGTCCTTGTGATCAGTGCAGGGAAGAAGGACGACTCTAACAGGCGTGAAAGCGAACTGTGGTGGGACACTGACTTTGCTGCTGAAGCCGCCCTTGCCCTTTCTTTTCCTCAACATGCCCTATCTCTTACCTTTCCATTCTCTCCAGCTTTCATTCCCTGCTGCAGATCTGATTCTCTGGAAAGCATAGAACAGGGAAACCAGTTTTCTTCCAATTTTTTCCCCTCCTGAGAAATAGAAAATGCTTAGTCAATAAAATTATGTAAAATATTTAAGACTGCAATAGCCTTTGTATATTCTAAACAATACTTCAAAAGACAGATTTAAGAAAATCTTAGCTATCGTATGAAATCTTTTTATTTTTGGTACACTGAAAATGGGTTTATGTTGCTGCAGATTTTCTGGAATTTTGGTTTAAAGGCAGAAATAGAAGGTTACAATAGTTGGGTAATAACCTTGCATTGTGACTGTAATTTAATTCCTATTGAGCATTACTAATGGTACTCAAAGGAAATTGTAAAATATTGGAAATATTGGGACGCAGGAATATCTTCACACATGAGGCAGGGCATGTAGTCTGAGATCCTGTCAAGCTTATCCCTCTGGCTAAATTGTTTAAGTACAATGTAGACTTTGAATCTTCCTATAATTTACTTCATGCTTATTATTCTTTTGTGTATATGAAGGGGGAAAGCAGGCAGGGTTATATTTAGAATAACTCATCAAATCATGAAATAAAATAACCTGCAAAATAGAGGGATTTGTTTCCACCTAGGATTCAGTTTTCATAAGTCTCTGTTCTTTTAAATTTTTTCTCAGCTGTCCATACTCACTGATATTCTTAGCTGTCGGGTGGTTTCATCTTCCCACTTCCATACAGGCAGTAAAGGTTTGGTGCCACCAAAGGGATCGGTAGGGAAAGTCTCCGTGATGACATGCTGTCAGGGCTGTCTTACTGTGGTCCTCCAGAGTTCGAAAGGGAGGAAGGGCAGTGATCCAGCCCAGCATTTTGCAGTTGCCTAGTAGTGCAGTGTTCCCCAAATTGACACATATAGTGCCGCTCGTATTTTAATGTTTAAAAAAAGAGAGAGCATTTGTGCATGGATTTGGATTAGCCTTATTGCTTGATCAGACCTGTGTAGTTCATTAAAACATTATTTATTCTATGTAGTTTATGATCCTTTTTATTTAAGCATACTTTGGAAGTACTTTTATTCCACCATACTATTTGGAATATATAACAGTAACATAGGGAATTTTATATCTATGTAGCTTAACATTTTTGAAAAAACAACCATTTTTGTATATTTTTAAAAAGATTATTTATTTATTTTTAGAGAGAGAGGAAGGGAGGGAGAAAAGTGAGAGAAGAGAGAAATATCAGTGGGAGAGAGAAGCATCAATGTGAAAGAAAAGCTTCAATGGCTTGCCTCTTGTATGCACCCCGACAGGGAACTGAACATGTAGCCCAGGCATGTACCCTGTCTGGGAATTGAACCAGCGACATTTCACTTTGAGGGATGACACCCAACCACCACATGGACCAAGGCAGTAATTGTTCTTAGGCTGACAGTCTAAAACATATTCATGCTTTATAGGACAGTTGTTTTTAACCATGACTAGAATGATAACTGAGTAAATTACCCCCTTATTCTGTCAAGGGGGGATAATAGTAGTTTTTGTCTCATAAGGTTATTGTGCAAGTTAAATGAGCTAATAAATATAAAGTATTTAGAATGATTTTTTGAGCATCAGATAGTAACTATTATATGATTAATGGTTATTAGTGATTATTTTAAAATTTTCTGTCATATTTGCCTGGGCTAAAATTTAAGAAATGATTTTTTTTTTCAGAGCAAGTGGAATTACCTGCTGTGGCATCAGTCAGCGCTTCAGTAATTAAATCGCCTTCAGATCCTTCACATGTTTCTGTTCCTCCTCCTCCACTCTTACTTCCAGCTGCTACCACAAGGAGTAACAGTACCTCTGTGCCCAGTGGCATTCCCAGTATAGAAAACAAACCTCCACAGGCCATTGTTAAACCACAGATCTTGACCCATGTTATTGAAGGCTTTGTGATTCAGGAGGGATTAGAGCCATTTCCTGTAAGTAACAAGGCAATTTATATTGTTTAAAAATTCATGTAACATTTTAAAAATTCAGTCTGTAATTCTCTAATAAAAAGCTTGTGATTTTATTTTAAAAAAATCACTCTTTTATCTAGAATTTATCTCTTTATATATATATATCATGTACATAATGCCAGATATACTTCTAGAATTTTATACTACATATTTAGATGTATAAACTAAGGAGGAAGACTTGAGTATATAAAGATACCAATTTATAATTTTTAGAGAAAGGTAGTTGGAAGGTTATTTCAATGAAATAAACTTTCTTATTTTTTCTTTTTAAGGGAACTGAAATGACAATGTGGTTTTTTTTGTATTTCTTGTATCATGTGATACTTTATAAACTTTAACTTGGGTATAGAAAATAACTTCCCAGTGACCTAATCCTTCTCAAGTTACCCAGTTTATGGTTTATAATTAGCAAATAGATACTCTAATTATTCTGTTTTTAAAAAGTCCTCACCTGAGGATATATTTGTTTATTTTAGACAGAGAGAGAAAGTGAGGGAGAGAGAGGGAAGAACATCGATATGAGAGAGAAATATCAATTGGATGCCTCCTGTATACACCCTGAAATAGTCTCGTTGTTCTTAAATCTCAGCCTTCAGTCAGATTTTTAAAAATGCTTTCAAATGTTCCCCTGGAAGTATCTATCACTAAAAGTCTTATAATTCGAGACTAGCTGTGTGTATTTTATGTGATACTATCTATAGGTGAACAGTTTCCTTAGAAAATAAATCAATTTATACTCCCACCAAAATTTTTAAAAAGTTTATTTTGAAGGTCTTTGAATCATCTGATTTTTGGAATTCATGGGTGGGGAAGATATGTGTTGGGATAGTTGGTTGCCTAATCAATTGCTTTGTTTTCAGTTTACTGTTTGTATTAAACTTGGATCTCTTGTAAGAAACCTGATGTAGTGAGTGCAGGCCCAGTCATTTCTCCCTGCTCCTCAGGGTTGCCATCCTGACTCTTACCTTTATGAAGTTGCTTAGTGTTTTTGATCTTCAGTTGCTCTTCCAGCTAATGGAGATGATACTTGGCTTTTAGGGTTAAGGTTGTTGTAAGGATTAAATATACATAAATTGTTCTGTGTAGTACCTGGCACTTAATAGGCATAGCTGTTATTATCAGTTATTACTAGTGACAGTTACAATGTTTTTTAAGATTACCAAAAAAAGGAAAATTTGGGAAACATACAGAAAAATCTCCACTAATACCACAATGTGTTTATATATACATGTATTTCTTACATGATCAAGATGATTATTATACATATAGTTTTGCTCCTTTCACTTTCAAGATACACTATGTTGAGCATTTATTTTCTCATGTGATTAATTGTACTTAAGTAATTAAAGTACTTAAATGTTTCTAAGTACTTTAGAAACATTTTGAAAAGTTACATAATATTCTACTTTATGTACAACCATAATATATGTAATCCATTATTATTGGACAGTTAGATTTTCATTTTTTTCACTATTCAAATAGTCCTGAAAGAAGTATCTTTGTATTTAAATTATCCACATTTAAAAAATTATCATGTTTCTTTGAAGTACAGCTATTGAATCATATTACATAAGTCTTCTTAAGATTCAATATATATTACTAAATCACTTATTAGAAAGATTATTTAAATTAACATACCAGAAGTGTATACCCTTATCAACAATGAATATTATAGTTTTTTACAGAAATAACTTTTATAAATTTTACTTGAGACATATTAAATATACTAACTGAAATGGACACAGTTTAAAAGTTTATGGATAATTATTCTCTAAAGTTAAGTGTACAAATTTCCAATACACTAAACATCAGTGAATTTTTTATTGTTAATTTTAATGTTAATGTTTGCAGATTTTTTCCATTTCTTAATTGTGATTATAGTGGATTTGGTTGCTGAACCTAAGAATGAGGAGACTTGAGTTCTAGTCTTGTTTTCACTTTTTAAAGAAATCAGCTAAACAGTTTGACTATTATATAGTTTTCTCATCTTATTTACTTATTTAAATTTAAGTATAGTTTGTGTACAGTATAGTGATTTGACATTTGTATACCTGACAGTGTAATCACTACAGTAAGTCTATCTAATAATTATCTGTCACCATTCAAAGTTATCACAGTATTATGGACTACAGTCACCTTTGCCTTTTCTCTCATCCCCTATCTCCTCCCCTCTGACAGCCATCAGTTTGATGTTTCTATGAGTCTTTTTGTTTTGTTTGTTCTGTTTATTTAGATTCCATGTAAGTGAAATCATATTAACTTTGTCTCTCTCTGTAGGACTTATTTCATTTAGCATAATATCCTCTAAGTCCATCCATGTTGTCACAAATGACAAGATTTTATTCCTTTTCATGGCTGAGTAACATTCCATTGTGTATGTACCACTTTATTTGTCTGTGGATGAACATTTGGTTGCTTCCATATCTTGGCTCTTGATGCTGCAGTAAATGATGCTGCAATGAACATAGGGCTGCATTTCTCGTTTTGAGTTAGTGTTTTGGGTTTCTTTGGCTATATACCCAGTAGTGGAATTCCTGGGTCAGATAATAGTTCTCTTTGTAGTTTTTTTAAGGAATCTCTGTACTGTTTTTTCACAGTGGCTGCATCAGTTTACACTCCCACCAACAGTGCATGAAAGTGCCCTTTTCTCCATGAAAGTGCTCTTTTCTCCACGAAAGTGCCTTTTTCTCCACATCCTCACCAACATTTGTTATTTGTTGACGTTTTGAAGGTAGCCATTCTGACTGTTGTGAGGTGGTATCTCATGGTGGTTTTGATTTGTATTTGCCTGATGATTAGTGATATTGACCATCTTCATTTGTCTGTTAGTCATCTGTATGGTTTTTTTTGGAGAATTATCTCATCATGCCCTCTGCCCATTTTTCTCCTTATCTATATAATCCACATAATAGTGATCTGTTCTGAGGAGATAACCCTACAAATAAAACTTTGCACATAAAAAATCTTAAAAGTTGTTGCAGAAAAAAATTAAAATGGCAAATAAAAATTTATTACTGATTTTTAAAGAAAAGACTTTTTCTTAACTACTTGCCTAAAAACTAGGATGCTAGTTTCTGTTCAACAGAGACTTTGAAGTATCCATATTGCTGACTACCTGAACTATGAAGTGTTTATGTTCAAATAGCCTAACCTTTTTCAAATAATAAAACACTTATTGACTGTATCTGATCAATTGAACAAGCAAATTATCATAGCTACTGTTCTTTTCAAGAGGTTTTTAACCAACTTATTTCTGAAAGTCTTTAAAAAGATTATTTGATTTTATTCTCTTCTCTTTTTTAAAGGTGAGTCGTTCATCTTTGCTAATAGAACAGCCTGTGAAGAAAAGGCCTCTTTTGGATAATCAGGTGATAAATTCTGTGTGTGTTCAGCCAGAGCTACAGAATAATACAAAGCATGCAGATAATTCATCTGACACCGAGATGGAAGACATGGTTGCTGAAGGTTTGTGGATTTTACTGAAGACACCCTTTGAATAGACTTTGGCTGTTATTGCTTGAAACAGGATGCGAATTTTTATTCCACACAGATTTTTTTACTTGGGAGTATTTATTCTCATTTAATCCCTTATTTGACTAAAATAATAGGAAAGCGAACCAGACTCTTAATGACCAAATAATAAAAATAACAAGCTAGGTACTAATTGTATATTGTCAGTTTCACTCATGAAAAAGAGTGTGGATGGGAAAAATTCCATTATACATGACAGTAATTCAACATTTTAGCATCAAAACAACCAATTTTCTGTCTTTATTTTTTCTAAGTCAACTTAAATAGATGGCTATTTTATTGAGTTTGCTTAAAAATTTAGAGCTGCGGGATTGTTTGGTTTTAGACTTTCCATATTCTGATGTTGGGTAACAGTTGGGTATTACAGTGGTGTTAAGGATGTACTTTCAGTCAAGAGGTGATTGAATTTGTTCGAAGGAAAATGTAACTAAATCCCTTAATGTCAAAGAATTTTTTTATAGACTTAATTCTCATAGTGAATATTCCATAAAAGTCAGAGTGGTGTACAAAATGACTGCAGTAGAGCAAATACAAATACTCGCAAAATTGTATATTTTATCTTTTATTGATTCTTAGCATGGTCCTGCAGTTCATGCAATTCAATTTAATTGTGCAACATTTAATATAGTCAGGGCTCTACAGTAGTGAATTAATTAACATCTCAGTGTAAACTATTATCCTCAATATATTAGCATATTTCATCTAAAACTAGTTTATTGATTTTTCAAATATTTATTGAGCATGCCAGTAAGCAAAATGGATGCTGTCTTTGCTCATAGTTTTTTTTTTTTAATATTTTATTTATTTCTCAAGAGAGGGGAAGGGAAGGAGAAAGAGTGGGAGAGAAATATCAGTGTATGGTTGCCTCTCATGCGTCCCCTGCTGGGAACTGGCCTGCAACCCAGGCATGTGCCCTGATTGGGAATCGAACCAGTGACCCTTTGCTTCACAGGCCCATGCTCAATCCACTGAGCTACGCCAGCCAGGGCTGCTCATAGTTTTTCTAATTCATACAAGGAAGGTACCTCTGTCATTGTTTGTAATTTATGAACTGTTGCAGCATAGTCATACCTTTACTTTTTATTTAAACAGCAAAGAGTATGGTAGTAATATAAAAGTTGGGTTCAGTTTGATGTCAACTAAAAAAATTTGAAATACATACAATTAGAATTGTATAATGAATCCCCACTCACTCAGATTCAGTGTTATCACCAATTTCGAAAATAGTTTTGCACACATGCTTCATCCATCTCTTTGGGCTTCTCCCTCCATCTCCTATTCTCTCTGTTGCTTTTCTCTTTTTCTTTTTTTCTTCATTTATTTCTGTTTAAAAAAAGCATAGTCCTTATTTTATTTTACTGATACATACTTTAGTGTGCATATCTAAAAACTGTACATTTTCTTATATAACACTATCACACAAAATAACAATAATAATTCTTCAGTGTTGTTTAGTAGTTGGTCCATATTCAGATTTCCCCAGTTTTTAATGGTATCAGTTGTATAATGTTCTTTTGGAGTTATTTTGTTCAAATCAGGATCCAAACAATGCCTGTGTTTTATCTTTTGCTATTAGGAGTCTAATTTCCTGAATACTTACTTGCTTTTATTTATATTGCAGTACATAGTATTTTATCTGAAAAAAATTTTCATTTGAGGTGAAGAGAAGTAGAGATGAATGGGCAGGGATTTTTTTCCTTGTCTATATCTACAGGAAGTATATGTATGAAAGTTCCAGGCTATAAAGCATACATATTGTTCTTCTGTGTGTACACATCGGAGAAAATAGGAAACTGCTTAGGAAGTGTCACGGCATATTTCATGGTATCCATGGTTTGTATAGAATAAATGTAGAGCATATGCTCCTGTGCTAGAACCTGAGAATATTCCCATCTGGTAGAAGCTAGCAAATCTCCCTAACAGGAAGATAACTACAGAGCAACATGTGGTAGCTTTTAAAATAGTTATGGAGACAGTAAGAATTTGAGACTTTAAAACTGAGTGAGATGATTGCTAGCTTGGTGAATTTTTTATAGAGATGGAATCTGACCTGGGTCTTAAATGATAAAGGACAGATTTAGTATAACAAACAGGAAGATCCTTTCAGGTTGGAACACTGTGAATAAATGCACAAGGGATGCTTAAGTGATTGGTAATTCAGGGAGGAGGCAGTGAAGAGCGATGGCGGGGTTAGAGAAGTGTAGTAGGAAGTGAGACTGATAGAGTCTCAGTTTCAGTACCTCAGATATTTGACTAAAGCCATAAGAGTTACCTTGTTAAGTGCATGGTTACTTTCCTGGCTGGTGTGGCTCAGGGGATTGTCTGCCAGCCTGCGAACCAAATGGTTGCTGGTTGGATTCCCAGTCAGGGCACATGCCTAGGTTGTGGGCCAGGTCCCTAGTAATGGGGCATGCGAGAGGCAATCACACATTGATTTTTCTCTTCCTTTCTTTCTCCCTCCCTTTCCCTCTGTCTAAAATAAATAAAAAAAATATTTTTATTAAAAAGAGGATGGTTACTGAAGTTTTTAGGCAGGTGATGTGAACAAGAGTGATTTTGGAAACTATGCTTGTCATTTATAGGATGAATGTAGAGGTTTGGTATGCAGTTGATACTTGTAGTCACAGTGAGGAAGAGGAAGAAAAGACTTGATGGAAGACAAGGCAAAAGGTAGTTTAGCAGGGTAACATTCCAGAGTAAGGAAAAGGAAGATTTAAAGACGATTAACCAACGAATAGTAAATAAGCCATGGAGATACAGTGAATATAGACAACAATACTGTGCTACAGTCATCAAACTTGCTAAGAAAGTGAAATTTAATTATCCCAACAACTAAAAAGGATAATTATTTAATATGATAGAGGTGGTAAATACTGGTACAACAGCAATCAGGATATGTAAGTGTATCAAATTAACACGTACACCTTAAGTTTACACAGTGTTACTGTTAAATATATGCAATAAAAAGGTGATTAATCTGTGTAATACTGAACATATTTTTACATAAACTGTGCCAAAATTTAAAGACTTCATAATTTAATTTATCAGTGTAATTTTATGAAGTGTTTCTATTACTGTGTCCATTAATATTTATGGGAAGTGCTACAGGGTTAGATGGTGAGATGCTTATATAGTGGCTTTGGTTTTAGTAGTCATATACAGTTTCATTCAGTATTCAGAAAGAACCTAATGTGAGGGTTATTCTCATTTTGAAGGATAAACTGTTTCTGTTTGGACTGGTTTTATAGCCAGAATCTCCAACCAGTAGACTGTGGCTACCAAAATATCTTAGGTCTTTTCTGGTAAATCATCACACTAATGGTTTCTGCCTCATTGCCTTCTTTTTGGTTGCTGGTCCTCAAGTGACCTCAGATCTTCAGGAAAAACAAAGTAACACCTCCTCTTACAAAATCGGAGACCTTTATCAGTTAAGATATTTGTTTGACCTCTTCATTAGAGTCCCAGAATAATATTTGATTAAATAAGGTGGAAGTGTAATTTTCTGTGATGCAGGCCAAAGGAAAGCAGTCTAGGTAGGGCTCCCTGATGTGGGCACCTCTGCAGTCCCTGGAATGTTGTTCTTATTTCCAAGATAGCTAATCTTCACCATCACATTCTAATCAGTGAGGCCGAGGAAAGGGAACTTGCAAGCATTTCCATTCAAATGTTGTTGGTCAGAAATTGTCCACACCTGGGGCAGAAATTGCTGTTTATTCTTAGTGGTCACATTCCTAGCTAAAAATTAGGATTTTGTCATTATGGGAGAAAAGTGAAGAGTGAATATTGGAGGATTAGAGCTGTCTCTGCCACAGAGTCCAGTCTTTATTAGCTAAAGCAGCAGTTTTTTGATTCATTTGGTGCTGTAGTTTTTGTTCACATATGTGAAGAGTAGCCTTGGTAAATTACCAAATTTGTTAAATTCTGATTAAACATTAGAGCAGGGATTTGGGGATCTGTTACTGTTCTTCTCATCTTTATGAGAAATAAAACTGATGATTTCTTTTTTGTTAGGATATTAACCCTTAGATCATACCTGTTTGGGATCTCCCCTCTATCACTAGCACAAACATTTCCTTCTCCTTTTTAAGGTACCATATTTTGCCATGTATAATGTGTGCTTTTTTGCCCAAATTTTTTAGGAAAATATAAGGATGCGCCTTATACACGGGTATAACGAGTACGTACCATGGGTATAATAATGGGTGTGATAATTCCACGTATAATGCACACAGAAACGTGGCAGCACATTATACATGGGGGCACATTATACACAGTAAAAGATGGTATTCTGTTATCAGCTGCTGCATATTGTCTGTTAATTAATAAAAGATTTGTTGAAACAAATCTTTCAGTATAGTCTGGAAATAGAACAACTTGAGGAATGTACCCTTTGGGGCTGGACTGGTGGCAGTCGTTGAGTAAAAAAGTCTGTCTCCAGTACGGGCTCTTCAAGGTTAGATCAAGTTACAAGCAATACAGAGTAAAAACAACACTCCTGGAAGCTAGGACATAAGGTCCCAGGAATGTGATGTTTTGCCACAGTTGGGTGAAAGCCCTCTCTAGATCAGTGAAAGGCGCAATTTTTATTTTACTTTGAAATAGTTTCAAAACTATTTCTTCCTCATTGCTACTAAATACATAACTTTTTCTTATGAAGGCAGTCTTGAGAATTTCCATAAAATGATCACTTGCCAGCTTATGATTCGATCAGGCATTGACAGTATAAGAGGTCCAGAAGGTATCCATCCATGCAATATGAAAAAGACATTTATTGAAGAAGATACAAGAAACATTGTAGGACAAGAAACAAGATACAAGAAACACAGGACAGTGATGCCTCAGTCCCCTTCAACATGGGCATCTTGGGACCTCACACAGTTCTGCCAGTCTCCATTAGCTGTCCTGTCTTATTTTCCTGAATCTTATGAATGGTCTGAAATCTCTTCCCTTTCAAAGGTGACTTTAGTTTTGGGAAAACCCATAAGTTGCAGGGCACCAAATCTGGGCTGTGTGGGGGCTGAGTCACCTGGGTGATCTGATGTTTCACAAAAAAACTCCATGACATGCATGTGTGAGCGGGCACATTGTCATGATGAAGCTGCCAATCAGTAGTTGCCTGTAGTTAAAACCTCTGAATCACATGAATAGTTTCCGTGGAGTAATGTTTAAGCTTAATGCAAACTTTGATGCAGATTTGTTGCTCTGCTTGCCCAGTCACTTTGAATGTGATGGCCACACAGTATACATGCTCACTCGGTGGCATCTACCACTCCTACTGATAGTACAGTGAAGTCCTCATTGTTCACACATGTGCATTCCAGTGCATTCTCCTTGTCTGCCAGGTTACATCGAAGTTGTGTGAACCATTCTTATTATATTAACAATGGATAGACTTTTTCTGGACAGACCTATTTGGATGTCCCTTGGAACTTCAAATATTTCACAGTATTTTGTTTTTAGTAGTTCTTGCTATCTTCATGTGATTTAGCACTTTGCAGTTTGCTTCTCCAATAATACTAAATAATCTGAGTGTTTAAGCTTATTAAGTACATGTTATCCAGGGCAACATTTCAGAGTCCCTTTCTTCATCTTAGTAAGTCATGGTTAATGAATAACATAGGAAGTAAGCACATATGGAGCTCACAACTAGAAGCTTTAGTTAATGGAGTACTTTTTTGCATAGGAATTTTGAGGATGCAAGACAATGGAAAAAAGATGGTGGATCTAAGAATTTTCAGTGAAGTATTTCCTAAGCACTTACAATTCTTGGTCCTGTTAGTTCTTTTGTGGAAAATAGGAAATGGAACTCTCACTTTTCTGTGCCTACCACCAGTTGGGCACTCACTTAGTCTTTACTGCAGTTCTTTGGAAAAGCATTATTAACTCCATTTTACAGATGAGAAAATTGTGGGTCATGAAGATTAAGTTGCTTGCTTACAGGTGACTGCTGCTGAATACTTGAGGATTTAGATAGTGTGGTTCAAAGAAAGGTATGGATATTGAGGTGGAGGAAGGACGTTCTAACTTAATAGAGAACATTCCTTACAAAAAGAAGCAGAGGTTAGAAATTACAGCTGTTTGTGATTTTAAAGATTAATCTAAGTTATTTTTGTTTTAATATGATACAACTAAAGGGGAGTATAGTGTAGGGAGTGTCGTATAATTAGATACATACATCTTTACATATTACACACTATGGATCTTTGAGAATGTTCATTGTTTTACATGCTCCTCTAAAATCAGTCATATCAAAACTTTACCTTCTTTTTGAAGTCATCCTTAGTCTCTCCAGTTAGGATTAAGTATTGTCTGCTACATAGCTCCACAGCACAGTGCAACAAAGTTCATATCCCACAAGGTGCCTTTTGAAAGTGTTCCTCCTGCGGGGTCGTGACTTTGTCTTGTTTATCTTCATTTGTCTTGCAGTGCAAATAAACTTATTTGCACATTTTAGATATGTTGGATTCTTAGCATAACAGACCTTTAAAGTATATTACTTATGTATATAGAGAGAACGCCATAAATTTTTTATTAAGGAGAGAGCAGGAATTTTGATGGAGGTGATTGTTTTTGGAGGATTTGCCCTGCCAAACTGGCTATGGATTGAAAAGTTCAAAGCTCATTCCTTTTAAGTTTCCTGGAAGGTCTGAACAAGCAGAATTCAACCAACATAGAGGCTAAAAAAAAATTTGCCACAATTACATTTTTGGAAGTTTTTTCCTTTGTTTCCTTCTTTTTTAGAGACATTAGAAGAAATGGACAGTGAGTTGCTCAAGTGTGAATTCTGTGGGAAGATGGGATATGCTAATGAATTTCTGCGGTCAAAGCGATTCTGCACTATGTCATGTGCCAAAAGGTATTTATGTTATTTCAAATTTCCTAAAGCACAAACCAACAACCACTGTAACAAAACCAAAAAACTTTTAGAGTGTGCCAGTAGTTAAAACTAGAGATTACAATATAAAGAAATAATATCAAATAGACATTATGTGGAGCTACTTTGTTATTTAATTATTAAATTTTACTCTTTGAAAATTATATTTGTGTGACACAGTTTTACAGCATAATCTAATATTGAAGTGGCAACCTCCTGGTGTTAAGAATATGCTTAGGAAAATCCCTCCCATGGATAGACTACTAATCCTCAAGGTATCAAAAACAGTTTTTGTTTTATCACCTGATTTTTTTGTTAATATTGAAATACCTGGATTTACTTTGTTTAAAATGTTTTCTTTGTTTTAACTGTATACTATTAATTTAGGTTTCTAAATAGGACAGCTGTAGCATGTTCTCCACATTGTTATATTATCAGGAAATATCTCTTTTCTAAATCTGTATTTTTACTAATAATATTACAGGTAAATGGTATTGATAACAAAAAGGAATGTTTAGAATCTTCATTGAGCTAGTCTCAACTTTAGTTTACATTTTGAAAATCCCTCTGATTCTGATAATGGTAAAAAATTCATTAACTAGAATCTCATTTAAAGTGAAGTAAAGAGGCCAGAAGGGGGAGCTCTCACACCCTATGTTGATCGCAAGGCACTCAGGGAAACTGTAATTACCTTCCCAACTTACTTTTCCCCTACATATAACAATTTTGTTTCCTTCGTTGAGGAAATAGAAGAGCAGAAGGAAAGGAATGTCTGACTCTTAATGGCTCATCATGGTTGCATGTACTGGGTTACAATTACTTGTTCTAGAATAAATCCATTTTGCTGGAGAAATATCTAGCTGACTTTTTGTTTACATCAATATAATAAACCCAAATACTGGTATTTACCACTAAAGGTGAAGTGTATGCACACATTGATTATTTTGAAGTTTGTTCTCTGTTCCAAAAAGAGTTTAAGGCCTTAATTTTATTCATCTAGGGAATTTCTTGCTTGAACATACTATTTAGTATGGTGCCACTAAAATATACTCAATAAAACTTAGTATTACTAAGTATTGTACAATTAAATAAATAATAGAAATATTTTCCTCCCAATATGGGTTCATTGGTTTCTCAATTGTCAATCTGTTATTCAGATGTTCTTTTTTAAAAAAATTACATTTTATTGTTTATGCTATTAGAGTTGTCCTGATTTTTTCCTCTTTGCCCCCCTTCCACCCAGCACCCCCCACTCCCTCAGGCAATCCCCCCACCATGGTTCATGTCCATGGGTCATGCATATATGTTCTTTGGCTACTCCATGTCCTATACTGTACTTTACATCCCCAGGGCTATTCCATGACTACCTGTTTGTGCTTCTTAATCCTGTCACCTCTTTACCCATTTTCCCACATTCCCCTCTCATCTGGCAAACATCAAAATGCTCTCTATCCATGATTCTCTCTCTGTTCTTCCTGTTTGCTTAGTTTGTTTTACAGATTCAATTGTTGGTAGATTTGTATTTTCTGCCATTTTATTGTTCATAGTTTTTATTTTCTTCTTAAATGAGTCTTTTAATATTTCATACAGTAATGGCTTGGTGATGATGAACTCGTTTAGTTTTTTCTTGTCTGGGAAGCTCTTTTATTTGTCCTTTGATTCTAAATGACAGCTTTGCTGGGTAGGACAGTCTGGGCCATAGGACCCTGCTTTTCATGACTTTGAATATTTCTTGCCAGTCCCTTCTAGCCTGCAAAGTTTCTTTTGAGAAATCAGCTGACAGTCTTATGGGAACTCCCCTATAGGGAACTAACTGCTTTTCTCTTGCTGCTTTTAAGATTCTTTGTGTATCTTTAACTTTTGGCATTTTAATAATGGCGTGTCTTGGAGTGGACCTCTTTGCATCCATCTTATTTGGGACACTCTGCTTCCTGGACTTGCATGTCTATTTCCTTCACCAAATTAGGGAAGTTTTCTTTCATTATTTTTTCAAATAGATTGCTAATGTCTTGCTCTTCCCTTCTCCTTCTGGCACCTCTTGCGAATGTGGGACCTCTTGAAGTTGTCCCAGAGGCTGATTATATATTATCCTCACTTTTTGGATTGTTTTTTCTTCTTGTTGTTCCGATTAGTTGTTTATTGCTTCCTTATGTTCCAAATCATTCATTTGATTCTTGGCTTCATCCAGTCTACTGTTATTTCCATGTAAATTCTTATTTATTTCAATTAGTGTATCCTTCATTTCTGACTGGGTCTTTTTTATGGTACTGAGGTATAGAAAATCTATCTGCATGCTATAGGAATGCAGCCCAGCCCCTACTTAGAAAGGCCAGTGGGGAGCAAGGTCAGCACACAGGACCACACCCACAGATAGGTTTTCTGCCTCTGCCTGTGTTTTGCCTGTGTGTTTTGCCTGGTTTACCCTTCCTGAGCTATAAAGCAATTTGAGATGGCTGTTGCTTGTGCTGGGCTTGGAGATTCCCAGGCAAAGCCAAGCTGTGAATCTAGGCTGTCTGCTGCTAGTGCCAGGCCTGGGGCTCACTGAGGCCAGTTGTTGTTTGTTCGAGAGGATTTAGGAATTTGTAAAGCATGAGCCAAAATAAGCCATTCATATGGAAAAGCAGCTTGGGTGGGCTTGTAAGTGGGGTGAGGTCTCTGGGGATCTCTGGGGATCTCCCAGGCAGGTCAAGTAGTGTCAGCCAGGTTGGTGGAGTGTCAGATATGGCACCAACCTGCTGGCTCTGTGGGGTGAGCGTTCAGACAAGGGACATTGGCCTCTGTTCCTCTTGATGCCTGTACTTTCTCCCTGTGTACTGCTGTATACCCCTGTATACCACTGGTGCCTTTCAAGCTGCTACTCCAGGGCTGGAGCTCAGAGGGAGTGAGTCTGAGTAGGTGAGTCCGTGCGTGGGTTCTTTAATAGGAATTGCTTGGTGGTCCAGCAGTTTCTTTCAATCCCTGCTGGTTTTTACAGCCAGAAGTTGTAGACTCTTATCTTCCTAGCACAGGAACCCAGGGCTGGAGGGCCTGGTGTGGGGCTGGGACTCCTCACCCCTTGGGTATCCCTCCTGAATTTGTATTGATCCTGTGGGGGGGGGGGGGACCAGCCCATTCCACGTCTGTGCTCCTCCTGCCAGTCTGGATGGATGTGGTTCCTTTAATTCCATAGTTGTCAGACTTCCATTCAACTCAGTTTCTGAGTTGGTTCTGAGTGCTGGTGGTTCTCTATTTTAGTTGTAATTTTGATGTGGTTGTGTGAAGAGTAGACCCATGTCTGCCTACGCTGCTGTCTTGACCAAGGGTCCCCAGACGTTCTTTTATGTTGTCGATAACCCTAAAAAAATTATGTAACTCCTGTTTAACTTGGCAGTTTTCCCATTTATGTGTACCACAAGAGGGAACAGTGGCCTTATGATTCTAAATGATCAAAAACTCTAAGGGGAAAGGACTACCTTTCTGAATATTTTAAACTTTTTGCTTTTTAGAAATATTTCATAACTTCTAATTAATGCTATCATCATCTTCCCCCAGAGATAATTGCTGAGTTGCCATGTTTTTATACCTTTAGGAGAACCTCTTCAGAAGGTTAGGGACCCTAAAGTAGGGAAATACAGACAGCAGCACGAGGGGGTAAATTATGTCGAGGGGGAACCGCTGCTGTTTCTGTGGCTGTCGTGGAGATGTAAGTCTCTAGGGACTAAATGGCAGGTGTAAACTCAGTCTCTCTTTTCTGCTCTTTAGTCAGTGGGGAAAGAAGCTGTGTCAATTGATAAGAATAGAAATCAGAAACTGACAGCTGAGCCTATGGATGAGCATAATGAACACAGCAGGAGCCTGTTAAATTGTTTTAGGGTCAAACGAGGTGGCTATCTGGGGAAAGCCTGTTCATTCTTACAGTGCTCCTTACTTCCACCTCTGATATTTTCATAAAATGAACACGAAATTTTTTTTGGACCTGAGGAAATTTTATTTTGGTATCTGTATATTGGTCCTAGAACAGTTATCAGTAGCAAAGGTAATTGGGATTAATTCTTGTCATTTTTCTGAAAAGTCTTAGCACAGAAGAGTTTTGAAAATAAGAAATTACAATGGCAATTTTATATGTGTTTAAAAAAAGAGGAACTGCAGCCCTGATCAGGTGACTCCATTGATTAGGGCATCATCCCAAACACCTAAAGGTTGTGGGTTTGATCCCTGTCAGGGCACATACTTAGGTTGGAAGTTTGATCCCGTCAGGGTGCACACAGAGGCAACCTGATAGCTATCTACCTGTCTCTTTTTCTCTATCCCCTCCCTAAAATCCTCAGGTGAGGATTTTCCCAAAAAGGAACTGCTTGTATTTTTCTTAGCCTTTCTATAGCTTTTTAGAAATTTGTTTCTTGATTTGTTTTCACTCTTCTATCTGGGGATGGGGTCGGCAAACTGTGCCCAGGCGAGTCACTCCTGTAACCTATGTTTGTTCAGCCCCTGGGCCAAGGATGTTTTTTTAAACTTGGGGGTGGTTGAAAAAAACCAAAAGAATAATATTTTTGTGATTCATGAAAATTATGGGAAATTCAGATTTTAGTGTTACTAAATAAAGCTTTATTGAAACACATCTATGCTCATTCATTATGGCCTATGACTGCTTTCATGTTAAAATCATAAAGTTGACCCTGGTGTGGCAGAGATTTAATGGCCCACAAAGCCTAACATTTTTATGCCCTGGCTCTTTATAGGGAAAGCTCCCTGGCCTCTGTTCTAGGGCCTTGCAACCCAATAAATGGCACAGGACTCTTTAAGCTGTCATTATGCCTTATTAAGGTTATTCAAATGTACTAGGCAGTCTGTTTTGGTAAAATAAAAATCTTTCAGTCAGTTTTAAAGAACTACATGCTTTTAAATTCCCTGAAGAATGAAAGCTATGAATTCCTTGTATAACTTTGAAATCTCAACTTTACATTTTCACTATTTGATTTCAGTAATATATTTTTTAATCTTTTGCTAGCCATTTGAGATTTTTCTCTTTCTCTACTGTGTTAACTTATTTTTATTAATCCCTTTTTAGAAATTATTATTGGGGAAAATAGCAGTTTGGATGAACATCTAAATAGTTAATTCATGACTTCTTTTTCTCCTGGAACTTTGAATTATTTTGCTGCTGTAAAAATCAGTTGTCCTCTATTTGGCAGAAAGTTTCCCCACTATTATGCTGTTATTAGGAGAAAATATCAATACTTGTCCAGTATTAGATTGAGAGCTATATTATTCAGATATATGAGGCCAGTTTTTGGCTGTTGGCCTAAGTAAATCCACTGAACACTACGGTACTCTCTGAGGTATTACAGTTCTTAATGAAGTATATGACACTTACTGATTCACAAATTCACTTTAAAGTCATAATTAACTACTGAATAGAGTGTCCCATATATCATTTAATATTTTTTCTTACTTGAATTTCTTAGGTACAATGTTAGCTGTTCTAAAAAATTTGCACTTAGTCGTTGGAATCGTAAGCCTGATAATCAAAGTCTTGGGCATCGTGGCCGTCGTCCAAGTGGCCCTGATGGGGCAGCAAGAGAACATATCCTTAGGCAGGTCTGTAGAAACCTTGCTTCAATGTACAATACCCTTTTCAGTAATGCAAGGAAAGTGCAATGCTGTATTTTACTTGTACTACATTTTCCAGCTTCCAATTACTTATCCATCTGCAGAAGAAGACTTGGCTTCTCATGAAGATCCTGTGCCATCTGCTATGACAACACGTCTGCGAAGGCAGAGTGAGCGGGAAAGAGAGCGTGAGCTTCGGGATGTGAGAATTAGGAAAATGCCTGAGAACAATGACTTGCTACCAGTTGCACAAACAGAGCCCTCTATATGGACAGTTGATGACGTCTGGGCCTTCATCCATTCTTTGCCTGGTATGTAATTCAGCACTTCAGCCTTCATAATTTTCTTGTGCATTCACACACAGGAATGATGTCAGCTCTACCCACACCCATTGCACGAAAGGGCTAGAGAAGTGCTTATGTGTATATATTAATTAAATGCCACTTTCTATTGAAATGTGATCTGTTTCCTCTTGCTTATTCCCTCAGCACAACTGGGTATTTTCTCATACCCCCAAGTCGATAAAAACTGACTAGTCCTGCTTCTGCTGTGATACCCCAGCCGGTGAAGATATTAAAGGTGCTCTCTTCTCTTCAGTCTGATTTCTCTCGAGAGGTCAGTAGAGAGATTGAATCAGGCTTCTTCCCTTCTGCTCTTCTATTTTTCTATTCTGTTTTCTCCTTATTTCCTAAATTAACCTAATTTTAAAAGAAATAAGAGAGACTATAGTTTTTTTTTTACATTTTTGAAAATTAATGAAGGCCTTTTAGAATATGATACAATTTTGATTTCTTTTAAAATATCAAGCTCGTTCTTTAGAAGGAAGATGCATTCTTCAATTCTTTGCAGTAAGTAGGTATCATGAACAGTTCTGAAATTTGATTTTTTAAGTAGACAACTAGCATCCAATTATGGTAGTCTGTCCCAGTATTGAGGATAACTTTCTTATGTTTTTCTGCTCTCTCATTTTGGTATTCTTTCCATCAGCTTAATCTTTAAGTTCTTTATCTTTTTTCTTTAATGCAACAGTAATCTTTTATGTCCACTGGCTGGCTACTAAAGACATCTACTTATGATGAGATCCACACTAGCTATGTATGTTAAGACAATATATTCCTTCAAATCAGTGAATCTTATCATTCACTTTGGCCTTACAAATATGGAACACGGAAGATTTAAAAATTTGTTTCATTTTGGTTTTATTGTGAATCATACCATTTCTCCTGACACAAGCTTTCCAGGGAGCTATGTCCCCTTTGAGGTTGTCTGTAGGCTTATTAGAATTAACCCAGCTATTTTTGCTAATTGCTCTTTCTGCGCAGGTGACCACAGCCTCAGAAGCAAACGTACAGCTAACGTGCTGTGAGAGGGAAGGGAGTGTATTCAGTGTTACTACTGCTCCTTAAAAACCTGTCAGCCCTTTTACCTTATACACGGAACTCTGGGATTTTATTAAATTGGTTTTTCGAAAGCTTGTTTTAAACGTGCTAAATAAGGTTTTTTAATAAAAGAAAAACAATATATAGTCACTTTTAAAGAAAAGAAATTGTTTAAAGAGGCATACATTTTTCAGGGAAGATTTTTAAGCATGCTGACCATGTGGGTTTACAATCTGCTTTAAAATTGATATATTACAGGATGGTGAACCTTGATGTTTGTGGTTTTAATACTTAATGAAATAAGTTTTAGATTTTAGAACAGTTTAGATATTTTGAGATTTAAGTCTAAAATCAATACTGATGTCCTGGGCTAGACTCTGACTGTGTCGTCTTCAGAAGTTGTCTCAGTCCTCCAGCTGCCGCGCGTGGGCTGCGTGTTAGTTGGATTTCTCCTGTGGGGGAAGGTACTTCCCTTCCTTTGGGGCTGAGAGGGAGTTCACATCCTGAAGACAGTAGTTGGCTAATGAACAAGTAACAAATCGCGCTGAGTCTTGTCACTTCATGTGCTTTTTTTAGGGCTAATTTTCTAATTTTCCCCAGCATCTGTTTGACATGGGGGTACCCTGGTTGCTTTTATTAGAACAGAGACTCTTTTGTCTCATTCTTGCCTCATCTGAGTTTAAAAATTATTGCTTGTAACTTGAGATGTATGTCTTATTCAGTTTGTCAAGACACTTAACTTTGTTCCCAGTGTTCAGCGAACATTGTATGTCATTAAAAGGAGACTTTTATAGAGAATTGCTTGGGACTGTTTAAGAGTCTGCTTAATGTAACTGCTTCTTTTACTGATTAAGTGGGAGTGTTTTCAAACTGCTTCGATAGGTTAAATAACAAGCTTTTTTGTGTGATCAATATATCTTCTTTCTCAGAGTTTTTCTCTGTAGAATGCTTGTAAGCTTAAGGTAAATCTCATACCAGAATAAGCCTTTATCTCCATTTTCCTAGGCTCCTCTGGCCTTTGTAAACTTCCTTTTGAGCCTCTTGCAGCTCATTCAGGGCTGTTGGTTCCTACCCCTACCCCCCAAAGTAGTCTACTCCCAAGTTTTTTTTCACTGAATGAACAAGCTTGTAAATTTTGTACTCTTTGGTATTTTGTTGCTTTCCTGGTGACGTTAGGCTTTCCTCTTTTATTAGGGCACCTAAATTTACTCCTGGAGTTCCTCCTCTCTTTGTATGGTGTCGTCTTGTGAACCATCCTGGTGGGAGCATACTAGAGCCAGTGGGCAGTGCATCCCAATCTCAGACCTATTACCAGAAGGAAAAACTAATTTCTTCTAAATTTATGTGCATTAAAAACTTCGCTACAGAAATGATTCTATTTGTTTTCAGTTAATTGCAGTTATCTTCTTTAACTTTTTCTTGAAACAGTGAACTGCCTTTTGCAAATAACTTTGTTTTGTATTTATCTATCTGATCTATGAGTCTGCAGTGGATTTGGTTTCTCTGTTGGCATAAAAAGTGTAGGACTCATGTAGAACATGACTCTTCACTGGTTTTCACAAGACTAACATTGGGGCTTGATTATTCTGTATATTGAGTGGGAGGGGTTATCTTTTTCACCAACCATACTGAGGTCATTTTTTCGTGCAGGGTGAGTTTATTTTGGGTTTGTCTAGAAAAGTGACTGCATGCCTGCCAAGTTCAGTTGTTACCCATGTCTGTGCACTGAGGTCTGTGCGCACCCTGACAGCTGTTTCTGGTGAGGTGCAGCCAGCCAGCGGGTGTCAGCAGCTGGGGTGTGGTTTGTACGTGTCCCCAGGATGTCAGCCATTTTACAGTGGTAGATTCTAATGTCAGAAATATGTGGAACTTTAGCTCAGCATACCTTAAGCATCTAGAATTTTTTTAAATTCATTTTTCTCTAATGATTTTTCTGGAAATGTATTTGTCTACTTTTTTCCCTTTTTGTTTTTTAAGTTAATGTATTTTTTCTTCATTTCTATACTACTGTATAGTATAACCACCACCACCCCTTTTTTTTGGTTGGCTTAAGAAAGTTGTGATCCAAAATTCTGAAGATAATGCATTCCTATTTGATCATGCTCTTTCCCACTTTTGTTCTTTATTATTTTGCTGATACACTTATTACCCACCTACAAGAAGACATTTGAAGAGGAATCTCATAACGCAGAGGAACCAGAACATGCTATATATTTTTTTCATACAGAACTCCTTCTTTCTATTCCCAAATGTAGCTCTTATGGTCCTCATTACTTCTCATTGCTCCTGTTTTCTGACTCTAAGTAAGTCCTACCCTGTCTTTCTCTCTCTTCTTTTCTTTCCTGTGTTCTTGTAAGACTGAAGAGAGAACATTAGTTCTTTCATGTAAAGAACGATGGAGTCACAGCTAGATGCAAGAATAGTCAGTTTTATCTGCCCAGTTTTGAGAGCTACCTCTGGGAAAAGAAAAGAGGCTTTTCTATGGTGAGTAATTTCATTTTAACGGAATAGTTTCTTTTATATGGTAAATGGGCAAAACCATAAAAATTTTGTGTAGGATACTTCTGAATTGTCAGTTTTTAAGAGTCTGACAAATTATTAAAATGGAGAACATGATAAATGTTCTGCTGAAGTATTTTTCTCAGTGTATGCATACTGGAAAAGGGGGGAATAGGAAAGATTCAGCCAACAAAGAAGGCAAAAGACGTGAGAGAAAAGATGGCCATACAGCTGAATATAAAAGAAGTGTTTGGATTACTCTTACATGTAGCTTCCTGGCAGCAGATTCTGTTTTTTGTTCATTGTTTCTTCATTCACATTCAGTCATTCACTTACCAAAAATATATTTATTTAGCAGCCACAGTGCTTTGTGCTTGGTGCCAGGGTTATGGGGAATGACTTCACTATCTATATAAACAAGACGATGATACATTTGCAACAGAAAGATAATCATTTCTTCAAAGTTGTGGTATCCAAAAGTCTGATGTAACTATTTCCATTTTTTTATCTTTTTCTTTGTGTTTTTGCTTAGAATGCTGATTTGAATGAAATAGAGACTTTAAGCTATTGGTATTCATTCTTAAATATATTTGTATAATGTTACTGTCTAAGGAGGCTTCTACATTTGGCTTTCTTCTCTTGAGTCTTTAATGCATTACCTTACCTGCTAGTTTTTTTCCTTCCTGGGAAAGTTTATTGAATAACCTGACTACAAAATTTGGTGGATAATAAAAACATTTGGGGTTCAAATAGATGCTGTTCAAGTAGATGCTAGCATTGTGTTTGCTACCTTAAAAAGCACCTGGTTTTGAGTGAGAGCTAAAATATTGGTTATTTGGCAAGAGATTAGCCAGTAAGGTCTAATTTCAATGAGAATTTATTTTTCAAAAGTGGAGATGAATCTATGATACTAAGATTTGGGGTTGAAATTACAAGTTAAGCAGTATAATACATTTCGGTGTTGTTCCAGTGGAGCAGCACCATAGTCTGGGTGGGTCAGCTCTGTCCCGAGTGAACAACAAAACATGTTTTAGGTATGCTTGCCACTGAATGTTGTAGATTGAAGTAAGGTACAAGTGATCATGAAAGTGGTGCTTTGGTACGTAAGAAAATATTTCCAAACCGTTATTTAAATGACAGAACATTATATTTTATTCCTGTGTATCTGTACGTGAAGGATATATTATAGAAAGTGAGGTTCAGGAGGTTTAATAAGTAGTTAATCTAAACTTGTTATGTGTGTGGCATGCTTTGAGGTAACAGCGCCATCCTTTTTGTGAAAATACGCTGTATCTAGACTGACCAATCTGTACATTTCACCTGACTCTTACTAGTTATTTCTATGTTATGTTTAGAACTAGAATTCCAAGTAAACTGCTTTATTTGGGTTTTGTATTAATTTCTATTTACAGAATGCGGAGGAATACTCTCTTCTTCAGGAATCAACCTAAGACTACCATAAATAAATCTGATTCGTTTCTCAGCCTGTATTTCAGAGACTCAGGCCCAGGGAGAGCATGACTGTGACTGTTAGGAGTAACGCGTCCTTGTTGCGTATTAATTCTAACTTCCTTCCTCTGATCAAATTCCAGGCTGCCAGGATATTGCAGATGAGTTCAGAGCCCAGGAGATTGATGGACAGGCTCTTCTCTTGCTAAAAGAAGACCATCTAATGAGTGCAATGAATATCAAGCTGGGCCCAGCCTTGAAGATCTGTGCACGCATCAACTCTCTGAAGGAGTCTTAACAGGATCTCGAGCCTTTGAGATAACAGGAGTTTTGCTCTTCTTAAACAAACTCGTAAGGTTGGCCTGTTGGCCCAGAATATTATCACGTATTGTGCTGGGTAGCCAAGAAAATTGGGATTTCCACATTAGAAGCTGATATTTCTTCTACAGATACAATAATTCATCATACATTTTCATAATCAGCCAACACTGATGAAATTCATTTTACAGGTTACACACAACATTGAAAGACTTGTTATAGAGGGCCATGATATTTTTCAAAGAAATATGTTATAGTAGATAATTTTTTAAGAAGTAATGTTTATCATTAATATAAAGAATTCTTTTAAAAGTAATTTAATGATTTATGTTTCTCCTCTTTTGATCCAATTTTGTTACACACTTTCCTACTCTATAAGTTTTCCGTAGGTCGTCATGAGAGATAATTTAGGAGTCCAGTGACTAGGACTGTATGCAGTGAGCTGCCAGTGCATTTTACAAGAACACGTCTGTTAGAAAGTTGCTTTGTCTGTAAAGGAGAATTGCGTTCTAGCATGACTAATACTGATCTGGAAGTCTGAAGAGTTGGTTTCTGTTCCAAACTTGATAAAGAATTTGGTGTAGCTAAGAAAGTTTTCCCCTTAGTTTTTGTACATCTAGAGCTGTGGTTCTCAACGGAGATTAGTTTTGCTGCCATGGGGACGTTTTGTTTGTCACAGTTTGTTGGATGAGGGAGGGTGGCTTTTGTGTCTAACACATGGAGGACAGGGATGTATTGCTGTTTGTCCCACAGCACATAGGACAGCCCTTCACAGCAGAGTTACGTGGTCTAAAATGTCAGTAGTGCCAGGGTTGAGAAACTCTGGTGTAGGAATTACAAACATTTCTCTTTTTCATCCACAGGCATACTTTATACAATGGAAATATTTCAGATAGTATCAGTGTTCTGCTGAAGTATTTTTCCCAGTGTTTGCACGTTAGACAAGTTGGGGGGGATGATTAAACTGGCTGATAAAGTGAGGACTAGCATACAAAGAATTTGACTCTTAGAAGATATTTTATATTATCTTCAATACCTCTCTGCTCTGATGTTCCAGTACAGAAGGCATAATCTGATTTTACCTTATGAACCAGAGCACATACAGCTTTGCTGACAAAGCAATAGTTTGTAGCCGGCTGATATGTGTGGTCTTTGGGGTTTTTCTAATGTTGAACATGCTGGCTCTAGCTAGAAAGCATAGTCCTTTTTTTTTCTTTTGACTAATCCCCTGCATACTTCTTCAGAGCACTTACCAAGTGATATCTCTTGGATGGTGAGATCTAATTTTCTATGTAATTTTCTTGTTTCAGGAGAAAAATTTTAAAGCAGAACCTTTCATTGAACAGTTAGTGATCTGTTGGAATTATGACACTAAATATCGTGAGAGCCCTAAGCGCTTTATAGTCCTGGACGTCAAAGATTTGTTTGAATCTTTTTCATCTTATCTTTACCATACAATGGAAATGTTTTATAATTGAAGGAACATGCATAGATATTTGGCATAAGTGGGCAAAAGTCCATGAGTTTTGGTCATTGTCACTGCTCTTTTCAGAAAGATTGTGTTGAACTCGTAGAAGACTAAAGATGTCATTACAGACATCACAGATATTTATCTTTTGGCTTTGTGTACATTAGAGAATGTTGATTATTTTTATACAAAAATACAGCGGGTAATTTTTTTAATCTTTAGATGCCTCTTGTTTGAATGTATGCTTTGTGGGATTCTTTTGTGTAGTAACATTTAAAAAAAGATGTTTACTGATAGTTACATGTAGGTTAGAGTGTGTAATATAGTGTAAGGCTCCTGTTCCAGACCTACAATAGCTCGTAGTCTATGTTGCATATTTCCTTGTATCACATCTTTAATGACCAGATTCAAATTTCAAGGTAAAGTAGGTGTACTCTGTAGTCAGCTTTCATTTATTAGCATTCAATCATTGTGACGAGAGTTGTCACATGCTTGACTTTTTCCCTCGTGTTGTAACTTCAGAACAATTACAAGCTAAGCACTAGTACAAGATGGTCCACTGTATGGGGGTGGGGACACAAGGAATTAAAACTTTATTATAGATAATCCATAGCTTATATAAAATTGATTATTTGGGATAGATTCCCCTTACAATAATGCTTACCTCCCATGACTATATTACCTATAGCCTTCAAGGTGTTAGCTTCGGACTGTGTTACAGGTTCTCCTTTTATTTACACCCCTTCTAATAGCAGTCCTGTGCCTAGCTCTGTGTTGTGTCCAAGAAAGCTTGCCAGAAGGGCTTCTGTTTGAGAGCACATTATAATCTTAAATCTCATAATAATAATCTTAAGAATAGTCCAGATCTTCTGTTGTCTCCACTCAAAAAATACCAGAAAGTATACTTGCTTTTTTCAGTTAAGTCTTTTCATTTAGAAATGGCTCGTGTGCTTTCAGCTGGTCATTCTCACCTTTGATGCAGCTGTTTCTTTCAAGATAATGAAACCATCTTAATTTCAGTTACGTATAATGGACGTGGACAGTGACACCAGGTGTCCACCTCTCTCTTGAGCTTTAAGCAGTTTTCTTATGATATAGTTGGGAAGAGTACTATTATTTTCATTTTTTCTTCATACTGGGTTTTTTGTTTTTTTCAGAATTTTGATTGACAAGGGAATGACAAGCAGCAGGGGAATATGGGAAGTTCTTCCTACTTTTGCCACAAGTTCACATTTTTTCTTTAAACTGATGCACTCTCTCCATTGAGGGAAAAGCTTTAAGCCCTGCATTCCTAAGGAAGTAAACGAGCAGGGAGCTGGTTTGTAGAAGTTACTTTTCCAGGGACGGGTTTTCATCCAGCCCCGTGTCGGGATGTCTGGCACAGCCCCGCGGCTTTGATAGCACTGGCATGGTAGGAGACAGACTGCTGTCCCCACACCTGTCGCTTTTTGAGGTGGCATTAGGTATTTCCAAGATGGTACTTCTAATTTGCTGTGGCATCCTCTAGACAGGCATTTTTTTTAAGTCCCACTTTCAGTGCTGTCCCCTAGAATTAGAGGTGAAACGGGAGGAGAGAAATGCCCGTGAAGAAAGCTCAAGGATGCGAGAGGCAGACGGAGGCCAGCCACCCGTTAGTTTATCCCGCCTGAACACTGAGCAGGTTTGCACTTGAGGTTAATGCTGTTTTACCTAGTTTTAAATAGAAATGACTTTAAGTGGCCCACTGTTTTTGTTTCCTGGTGTGTTGAAACACTTAGAACTGTATGAAATGTTGTTATGTCCATGCCTTTGAGTAATTTTTGACATAGCTGATTTTCATACATCCAGTGTGAAATGACAGTCGGGCATTTATTCAAATACCGCTTGTAGATTGAGATCTGCCATAGTGCCCTCTATCACTGATGTGTTCGGTTCAATTTTATTAAGTCCCATTATCTGCATTTGAAGGGTGTTGGCACAAGTGTGCTAGGGATGCAGTATATATAGATTGTGTAGTCTTAGGTTGTGTTTACATGTGTGGAAACAGTTTCAGAAAGAATAAACTATTGTAGATGTATGTGAATGATGTTTCCGCACAGCCATACTGAATGAATGAAATCCCTGACTGGACACACTGTTCAAACATTTTAAAGATTACTTTCAACCAAAACAACCTGGTTATATTTTGTAGTTAGAGGATCCTCGCTCTTAGCGAGTGGCAAGAACACGCAGCGTTCGTGCAGCTAGCATTGAGCGTTACCTAATAGCATGAAAGGGCCATCCTCACACCTTACCCCCTAAGTTGCCTCTAGCCCTAAACTCTGTGTGAAAACTTTCTTCTTAAAGAGGACTTTGTCTGAAAATCCTGGGAGAGGGTTTTGCAGTGGGGTTAATTTTAGGAAGATAACTGGACAGGGCTTTCTGTCGTGTTTCAGTAAAACCTCTGGGCAGTGGAACCGGCGCACTTGTCTGTGCACAGTGTTTGCTCTGTCTATTCCCTGTGCGTCTTCTAGGGTGGAGGGTTGGGAAGTGGGGGAGGAGACCACATGCATGAGGAAGAGCGTTCCTGACCCAAGGGGACAGCACAGCTGACAGAGGTCATGTTGTGCAGATAGGCCTTCCGTAGTTCAAAACGGTGACTTGTAATGGCTGGACCCCTGTTATGCAGTAAGAGGGCATAGTTTTTAGTGCGTTGAGATTTACTTGTACTCAAACTCCATTCTTCCACTCTTTGTCCACTGGCCCTGCCCTTAGGAGCATAGTAAGAGTTCCAATGATACATGAGTTATTTTTGACTTCTGAAAGAGGTTGACAGCTATTGTTGTTAGAAAATGTTTGTCAAAACCTCAAAGGTTAATCATTCTAATTGTGATCACTTATTGAGTATTCATTTTCAGGTGCCAAAGCTGAGTCAACCTTACCAACTTTTATAAATCAGAGCATTTTTAAGATCGTATTTTAGTTGCTAGTTTGTGTCTCAGTCTAAGAACTGGATGTCTGAGAACGGCCACAAGTTTCTCTTGGTCAGTGTGGGTTTCAGTGAGCACAAGCCTGCCTCCATTTCTTTGATGCGCAGTAGTGCGCGTCAAAGACTGTTTAACTCTCATTTGAATCTGTTTAGAACATTTGATTTCATCTTAAAGGTTGCTTCAGTTTAGATAAGCACAAATACAGTATTAGGAAAAGTAAATACACAATTTTACTAAAGTTTAATTTCAACCCATTAAAAGCTATACATTTTTAAAAGTATTCTTAAAATAATCCTTTTTGGTTAGAAGTTCAGAAAATATGTCATCATATAATTCCCTTCAGAGCAGCAATACAAGCCATTTTTTCAATTAAAAATGTTAAAAATTATGTTCTCTTTAGAAAAAGTTTCCTAAGTTTTTAAGAATTCTAAAGTTTTATGTTATTTTTAGAGCTTATTTAATCTAGCTTAAAGTATACTATAAGAAAGCTTTTTGAAAGTTGTAAAGCACTAATACAAATGTAATTATTACCATCAGATTCCAGAGCAAAACTCTTTTTCTGAACACTCACTCTAATTAGTGCACATAAGGGGTGACCTCGCCCCTTTTCAGATGTGACCCAGCATCTCCAATGAAAACTGTCCCCTCTGCTCCAACGGATGACCTTTTAATAAAGTGCCATATCTGTGGAAGCTTTGGGGAAGTGTTTTCAATGAATGTTTCATCTCTTTTCTTTTTATAGCTTATGGACATTTTATTTAAAGATGATATTTTAATCTCAGACGTTAAAGAGGTACTCTAGAAAGATATTCTTTTTATTGTCTTTAAAAAATACAGTTGCTGTCAGTGATACCAGTGGTGTAAATATGCATCTACGGAAAGAAAACCTGTGCAAAGGTTTTTAAATCTATTGTTTAAAAGTAAGTATAGTAATTAATGAAGCCTAATTTGGAAAAAGAAATTAATGTAAATTAAAAGTTATGCTAACGTGGCATAGTTTGAAATTTGAGTAATATAGTAAGTCCTTTTAGATGACCTATTTAAATTGACTCTAGTAACTAATCTTCTTAAGGATTGACAGTAGCCATCATTATTGGCCCAGAAGTTACACGTTAGGGAATACTATCAGTGCTAGCTCGTGTTTTGGGAGCTCTAATTGATGGAGGTGAGAAGTCGGTTTTTATGGGGGTGGTGGGGCTGGGGGGGAAATAAGCATCAGTCTAAGTTTTCAGTCTTGCCTCAAAAACACCAGAAGTATCCATTGTTTAAATCTTTGTTTTTCAGAATGTTAGAAGCCATAATTCTTTTTGTTTTAGGTAGTACTAAATAATCTATTTCAGTAATAAAGCAATAGATAAACATAATCATTCTGTTAATATGATGAAGGGGGTTTTACATGCATTTGATGAATTAGCTATGACAACGTACAGCTAAAAGGCAGTTACTTACCTTTTAACCTGTTTCATCTTCTGAATATACAGCATGGAGCCTACCCTACTCAAAATGTTGATTTGGGTTTAAATCACCTATGAGGTTCCTCCCAGCTCTAAAACTGTGATTTGGGGCCACATAATGGGATATTTTTAAGTTGCTCCTACTTAATTCACATTCCCTTCTTAACAGTTCATACTTTCAAGCTATTGCTAAAATATTATTATTAAGCATTACCTCCTTGGTCACCTTGTCTTTGTTGTCCTAAGGAATAAGGCAGAAAATTCAGACAGACAAGCAAATTGCAGACATTTTTCTAAATGTTTCCTGCTAGTTAACCATGGAATCTGTGAACACACATGAATAGTGTCATTCATACATTCACCCATTCACGTAGCAAACCATTTGAACACTTACTATGTGTGGCATGTGCTGCACATGACCTAAGGAACTAGTAAGAAGTAAACAGAATCTCTCCAAACAAAATTCTGATTGCATTTTTAACAGATATACACAATTATTATTACTTAATGTATTGCATGTAAAGTTGGGACTGAGGGAATTTTGGTGTGCATTGGGAGGGATTAGGCTAGATATCTAAGAGTCTGAGTGAATCACTAAACATCAGTCAATCATATACCTGATTAGGTTATAAAATTAAGGGTACTAACATTAAGAATTAATATTTTGAGACTGTTGTGACAGCCCATATTTCTAAGAATCACTTTGACACTTGAATCTATTCCAGAAGTGTTACTATGCAGAGTGTGTGACAGAACCATACAAAGACGCTAGTGCTGACTTACTATACATTTTTTTAATTACTTTTTTATTGTTCTATTATAGTTGTCCCAGTCTTTGGCCCATTGCTGTCCCCTGCCCCGCCCACCCGACTCACTATACATTTTAACTATAAAAGCTTTATGCCCAGTATTGACAGTGAAGTAATATCTAAAACTGAAAAATCTGAAAGGACATAGCTGAACAGTTTTATTTTTTGTTTGGTTTTGGCTTATTTTTAAAACAAGAAAGATTACATAAAATACATTTTATCACTAATACCTAATCTTTGAAAGCACACATTACATAGTAAAAGGGTTTCCTTTGAAATGTAGAACTAGTAAACATAAGAGTTCTTTTTTTTGTTGTCGTTTTTTTATCCTCACCTGAGGTCATCTTTTCATTGCTTTTTAGAGGGGGTGGGGAGAAACATTGATTGGTTGCTCCTTGTACACAACCCCAACCGAGGATTAAACCCGAAACCTAGGTGTGTGCCCTGACAGGGAATGGAACTGCATGCAGCCTTCTGGTGTACGGGGCTACCCTCCAGCCAACTGAGCCACCCAGTCAGGGCAAGAGTTCAGTGTTTAAACTGACAAGTATTTGGGGAGTGAGCATTGAATGGGATCAATTCTCAACTGGGTAGAGGACTCCTTACCACTTGAGGATTCTGTGAATCACAGTGTAATTCCTGTCAGTACAGCGTTATGTACATTAACATTACTTGATACTAACATTCTATAAAGATTTTTTTAAATCTAATATTAAAAAATCCTTTTATGCGTCAAAGTCACAGTTTCTTAAAGCAAGAAAATGTCCAAGTACATGTTGGACTAGAATCTATAACACTGATTAAAAACAGGAATACTGACACCCGAGTAATTTGATAGTCTGGCACAGTCTAAGATGTCTTAATTTACCCAATTTAAAAAATATTTTATGCTGTTAAAATATATATTGCATAAACACTTTTTGTATATATATTCTTTAAATTTAAAGTCATTGGAGTTTGCAAGTATGGTATAATTTTGGATGTCTAACTTCCAGTATGTTTAACCACATTCCCAATCACCTTATTCAAAAGGTTGGTCATTTTGTTTTTTTGCCATAAGAGGGAAAAGTCAGAGTAGCTTCCTACATTACCCTCGTGCAGAGCATGCGGAGGGGTGAGGGCCGCCGCGGCTGGTGGCTGCTGACACTGGCGGCAGGTGTGCCAGGCCTCTGCTGAGTCGGTGCTTGTGTCTTGGTGGGTGATTTGGGGGGGTGTTGGTTTAACAAAGGCAAATTATGATAAACTGGTTTTATTAAAAAATACTAATTTTTGATGCTTCAAGCACACGTTAACTGATTTTTCCATTCCTCCTTTTGGTTCCTCACATTGCTCTTACATAGGACGTTCATGTTATTAAAGCCTCAAAAGCTGATCCACCCAGGATGAACAAAGCATCACGGGGGGGGGGGGGACGTTTTTTATCCTTACAGAAAACAAATGTTAAGATTATTTATAAATGTATTCTTTACATTGGATATTGTATTAGAGTTCTCCTTACAGGAAATTGAATAGTTGTAGCACTCTTAGCATTAGCGTTCTTAGATTGGTGTCTGTAGCTACAGTTTTCAAACATATAACCTGAAAATGAAGTTAATTTTGCATTATAAGAGCACACCATGATCTATGTAAAAAGATTGTCCATTTGGTGTATTTTTTTAAAAAAGAGAAGGCACTTTCATATTAACAAGTAGCATGTGTATTAATTTTAGATTTCCATATTTGTTGTGTCTGTATTTAGTAAAGTTAAAATTAAGCATTCAAATGTTTGTTGATGGCAACATTAACTATTAAATTAAAGCACCTTATACTCTGCTGCTTAAACTTGCTTGTAATTGCACCTTTGTTACCTGCACATTTTCACATAGAATATTGTTGTAACATTGCTTCGTGTGGGTCTGGATGGAAGGTTAGTGGGCCTGCAGGATCATTTATTTATGTTGTTTATAATTAAATAATATATTGTAGACCAGCTGTTAAGTTCATTTCTTTAAAAATAAAAGCCTCTTCCATTTGGCTGGTCTATTGAATAATTTCTTTTTTTTTCCTTTAAGCTTATGAGGTGTGGGGAATGCACTGAATGAATAACAATTAACAAGCTTAGTAAGGAGTTTGAAACAGTTATAAATTTTCCTCATTTAAAATCTGTTGAGTTTAATTCTCTGTTAAGTACAGTATATTTTACTTCCGGCCAAGATGGAGGCGTAGGTGGAAGCACTGTACCTCCTTGCACAACTGAGTTTATAAACAACAAATATTTAAAAACCAGAATGCAACCAAAACAGAGAGAAAATTGAACTGTACCGAAGTCTGACGACAACGAACCATTCATCCAGACTGGTAAAAGGGGCGGAGTCAGCGGCTGGCTGTTAGGGGTCGCACAGGAAAAAGCCCCCAGATGGACCCAGGTGTGCAGGCTGCGGTTGGCAGATCCCAGGTGTGGGGTGGCAATGGGCAGACCCAGTAGGGGCGCAAGACAGCTGGCTGACTGAGGTCACACATTCAAGCGCATATAAACCAGGCAAAAAACAAGCAGTGAGATTGACCATGCCCTGGGTAATAAAGCCTAAAAGCACCAACTGAAAAAACTTTCCAGGGTTGAGGTGCCGGGAGAGGCTCCCAGGCTCAGAGTTCGTTGGAGAGATCCACAGGGTCCTGGAGGGTGCACAAGCCCGCACATCTGGGAACCATCACCAGAAGGGCCCAATTTGTTTGTGGGGAGTAGCAGGAGGGATCAAAATCCGAGAGAGAGCAGAAAAAAAAAAACGCCATTGCCCCTCTCTGACCCTGCCCCCACATACGTCACAACCCAGTGACCTGGGTTGCCCCACCCTGGTGAACACCTAAGGCTCCGCCCCTCATATGTAACAAGTACAAACAAACCAAAACATTTATGGCTCAAGCAGAAGAACAGCTCAAAGCCCCAGAGCCAATACTTCTAAGGGATCAAGAGATAGCCAACCTATCAGATGCACAGTTCAAAACACTAGTGATCAGGATGCTCACAGAACTGGTTGATTTTAGTCACAAATTAGATGAAAAAATGAAGGCTTCACTAAGTGAAATGAAGCAAATTGCACAGAGAAACAATAGTGATGGGAAGGAAACTGGGACTCAAATCAATTGAGTGGACCAGAAGGAAGAAAAAAAAAATGACCAAACAGAAAACAAGAATTCAAAAAAATGAGAAGAGGCTTAGGAACCCCCAGGACATCTTTAAATGTTCCAACATCCAAATTATAGGGGTACCAGAAGGGGAAGAGGAAGAGCGACAAGTAGAAAACTTATTTGAACAAATAATAAAAGAGAACTTCCCCAATCTGCCAAAGGAAATAGACTTCCAGGAAATCCAGGAAGCTCAGAGAGTCCCAAAGTTGGACCCAAGAAGGAACACACCAAGGCACATCATAATTACATTAGCCAAGATTAAAATGAAGGACACAATCCTAGAAGCAGCAAGAGATAAGGGGACAGTCACCTACAAAGGAGTTCCCATCAGACTGTCAGCTGATTTCTCAAAAGAGACCTTACAGGCAAGAAGGGGCTGGAAAGAAGTATTCCTCCAAGTCATGAAATCCAAAAACCTACATCCAAGATTGCTCTGTCCAGCAATGCTTTCATTTAGAATGGAAGGGCAGATAAAGTGCTTCTCAGATAAGGTCAAGTTCAAGGAGTTCATCATCACCAAGCCCTTATTATATGAAATGTTAAAGGGACTTACCTAAGAAAAAGAAGATAAAAAAGATGAACAGTGAAAGGACAGCAAACTCACAGTTATTAAGAACCACACCTAAAACAAAAGCAAACTAAGAGGACAGCTAGATCAGGAGCAGAACCATAGAAATGGAGATCATGTGGAGGGTTAGCAATAGGGGAGTGGAAGGAGGAGGAAGGGGAGAAGGTACAGAGAATAAGTAGCATAGACAGTAGATAGAAAATAGGGGGAGGACAAGAATAGTATGGGAAAATACAGAATCTAAAGAACTTGTGATGCATGGACATGAACTAAGGGGGGGAAAATGGGACAACTGTAATGGCATAATCAATAAAACATTAAAAAATACAATATATTTTAAAATAGTGTAGTTCCATGTCATGGTCAATTAGCAATACATTCAGAGGGAAAGTAACAGAGAAGTGGCAAAGGCCAGGTGTAGACATGGACAGATTAGACAATGTCTAGGTAGTTCAATATAATTCAGAAAGTGACTTCAGATTATTTGCCACTTAGATTCCTTTATTCCATCAGTCCTCAGTCGGGCGGTTTTGCCCACCATGGGTGGTGAGGTGGAGTCTGGCAGTACTGTGACTGCCATGACTGGGGAGCAAGGGGCTACTGGTATCTGGGGGGCAGAGGGTAGGGATGCTGCTGAACATTCCATGGTGCACAGGGTGTCTCCCCAACCAGAATGACCCAACCCAAAACAGCATTAGCTCTGAGGCTAAGAAACACAACTTTACTTTTATAGTGTGATACACTGCTGAAGTACTGAATAATTATGAATTGACATGCAAGTGACATGTAAGTTGTAACCGAAAATGAACCTGCTGTGTCATGGAAGGAAGCCGAGTCACTAATCCAGTTCTGTAAGGTAAGCAGGTGAAACTATGCTTCCAGGAATATTTACATTACATACAGAGATATATTTTCCAAGTTAGCATCTTCCCCTTATGTTAAAATGACCATGTATACAAATTCTTTTAAGAAAATGACCTGCATTTTTTCACTTTGAATTTCATAAAAATGTTTATTTAAGTTTGTAACAAAGTTGGCAGCGAATCTTTTGTGATCCCGTATCTTTTTGGGTAACAGAAACATCAGTATGGCCAAAGGTTAACTCACTTCAGTTTTGTGTTAACATTTGTAAAATGCAGTTTTCCTGAACAAGCATAAAACTTTTTCTTGCAATTATTTTGTTAAAAAGAACAAACAAAAAGACAAATATCATAGCCCCAAAATACACATTCTGAAACAGTATGGACGTGGTTGGTGGGTGGTGGTTGGGGGAGACTTCGGTTCAGTTCCATCTCTGTAGGTCCTGAGTCCTCATCCTTCCCTGTTTATAAAGTTACGATTCTTATCGTAGTTATTGTAAGTTTTAACGTGGCAACATATTAATAAATTATTATTGATATAGGCTTTTCCATTTGCTCAAGATTATGAATTGCAAGTGGAATGAAGCAGCATTTCCAATTGACAAACGGATCCACAGGTAATGCAGTGTCTCTTAGAGGAAGCTTGTGACAATTCACCCAGCACACTGTAGCAATGAGAAAACTGTTGACAAAGTACAACCACGGGATGTTCATCTCAATATATGCTGGAATCTCTACTTGAAATAAAAGGATAATTATTTGAAGTAGTACAAATGGTAACCAGGTCCCGAGAAAACAGACAATGAACTTGGGCAAGAGCCCTTTTTTAGAGGTGACAGTATAATTAGAGTGCGATGAAAAGGGAAAATAGAGGACAGTCTCATTCATGTAGGAAGTTATCCTAATAGCCTGCACCAAGGTAATAACTTCTGACCAAGAGGCTATGATAGCCATCAATAGAATCATCACCATGGCAAATGAGAGCCAGTAACTCTGAATGCTGCTGTAGAAAGGACAGTGATAAGAGTAAACATTCTGGGGCTGCAGGTTTGGGTAGATAGCTGCATCTCCCAAAACGTAAGCAAAGACTGAAATCCAAATGAAAACTACTGTAAAGAAATAAAATAATTTCTGACACTTAAACGGAAGGGTGGTTTTAGAAAAATTGAGATAATAATCTATACATGCCAACAGGAAAACTGGATAATGCAGAAAGCCGTAAGTAAAAGAAACAATTTGAGTGAATAAGCAGATGTGGTACTTAGTAAACCTAATGCCTAAAAGCACAAAATCCTTGAAATAGAATATAATGGAAATATTTACCAAAAGCAAAAGATCAATGAATGCTAGTGAAATGCAAAAATATTCCATAAAATTTTGATAGGTGTTTTTTCTCCTCATTCCCAGTGTAAGGACATTTAATAATATTTTTCCAAGTATAATCAAGACTAGCAGACAGTTACTGTCTAGGAGCTGATTTGTTGGGTGTGGATGGTACTGAGAAGAGCAGTTCTCTGAAGAAAGAGCAGTCATGTTTTTAGTTAAATCTCAGAGGCCCTGAAATGCATACGATACAAGACTGCTTCACTTCGCTTTCCATCCCTGCAAGAAAAGGGAAAAAATCTTGATGTTATCTTGATTCTAGCTCCATTTTAAAACTACAAAACAAATGCCTCAATTCTCAAAATTAATCTAAATATTTCTACAAATAATTAAATGTATAAGTAGAAATTTATATTTCTTATAAAACAGAATATGATGAAGAAGAATTAATGTGTATACTTTGGTCATTTTTGAGACCCATATCATTCAGAACTCTCAGATCTATAACCAAAATGTTACATGTAAATTACTAAAATTTTCATAACTACAAGTTTTAATAACTTGGGAAAAAAAGACTTATTTACTGGAGTGAATACACAGGGTTTTTTTTTCAAATCTTTTTTTTTTAATTTTAATTGTTGTTCAAGTACAGTTTTCTGCCTTTTACTCCCATCCCAGTGAATACACAGGCTTAAAGCAGCAGCCTACAGATAATACTCTGAACAATCACCACTGAGCTGTAACATGAGTTCCACTGTCACGCAAGATAATGTTACCCCATCCCTCCCTCCCCGCCTTCTGTCGTTTTGTCAATGATACAGAGGTAATGCAGATGGGGCCCTCTAGTGTAGCAGTATTTAAAACATTTTGGTAGCAGAATCATCATTCCTATTAGATCTCCAAAGGTCAAAGATATGGAACAGACAGTTCAGCGTAAAACAATGGGAACATCAGTAAAGGAAAGATTTATCTTCTGGATGTGATTCTGCAGGTGTGGTGCCTGGAGAGATGAGAGAATACAGGGAAGGAGCAGGGACTCAGTGTGAATACTGAGAACATTAAGACGAGCTGGGGAAAGGAACAGGAGTTGACGCTGGAGTGATACAAATGCACTCAGAGGCAGGAAAAAAGAGATGATGATGGAGAAAGGTCAGAAAGGAAGAAATCAGGAAAGGATGGAAGAAAAGGAAGGAAATGTGAGAAATTTATCCTACAAACAGAAGTCACAGTTGACCCAAAGCTGTTTCTGCAAGGCTGTTCAACCACAGTATTTCTAAGTAGCAAAATAAAACCCAAATAATGACAGATCCATCCACAAATGTCAGCAACTCCAGATGGTTAAAAGTGACTCGCGATCTACCCTTGCCTGTCAATGCAGCCGTAACAAATGTTTCTGGAGTCGGGAGGAAGACCTAGTTTTCACCCCACCTTTTAATACTTATTACATGTTAAGCCTCATGAATTTGTTGTGTGTTTAAAAAAATATGATAAATTTCCACAATGTTTAATTAAGTGAATTGCAGGTTACAAAATTAGGTCATTAATTTTAGACATGTATAGAAAAAAAAGGTACACACTAACATATTAACACGGTAGTATTATAGGTATTCCTGAATTTCTCAAACTTTAAGAAAAAAATAAGTTAGGGAGGATCAAGCCTGAAAAGTGAAAACCTAAATGTGCTCAAGAGTAGAACTGATAACATAATGTCAAGGGCGAACGGAGGTACTGAGGGTGAAGAATCCCGTGTGGGAGACGGCTATCATTCTGCTGACGGGATGCACCCTGACTTGACAAGACAGTGTGCTGAGAAGAGAGTCAGGGCCTGACTTCTGAGCTTCTATGTTCATCTTTTCATTGTCCAATTTTAGCAAGAATCTTGCTACGTCGGGTTAGCCAGCATCTCCCATCCTCAATATCTGATCTCCCTCGATATCACTCGTTCCTTGTCCCTCACCATGCTCCAGGTGATGTCCACTCACCCTGACCTGCCTTCTGCGTGAATCCTGTTAGGGTTTAGCCAGAATTCCCTCTTACCCTGATGATGCTTCCTTAGTGATATTCTGACCACTGACCCCCACCCACCTTGCTCCTTGGCTATAAATTCCCACTTGTATTTGGAGTTGAGCCTAATCTCTCCATGTGGCGGCAAAACCACATCATCCTGGTCTCTACGTCTGTTGTAGAGGTTCTGAATACAGTGAGCCTTACCGTTCTTCAACAAGGGCCATGAATAATTTTTTCTTTAACATACTCCCATGGCCATAAATCCACCAATCTCATAAATTCACTTACTAAGGTACACAAATAATGTACCCGTATGTGTGTATGTAAAAACATAAAAAATCGTTCAATACTCATATTCCTAACTATAGATATAAAAGAACCAATAAGACAAGTTCTCTTGTACATTCAAGTTTTTTCCATTTAGCCCTGGCTGGTGTGACTCAATGGATTGAGTGCTGGCCTGTGAACCAAAGGGTCACCAGTTTGATTCCCAGTCAGGGTACATGCCTGGGTTGCGGGCCAGGTCCCCAGTATGGGGGCACACAAGAGGCAATCACACATTCATGTTTCTGTCCCTCTTTCCCTTTCCCTCAGTCTAAAAATAAAATCTTAAAAAAAAATCCATTTAGTTGAATTTGACCCTCTCCCCCCAAATCCTCATTCCATGCCCCAACCATGGGGCACGGTTGACAGACGACACTAGCTCTGTAAGTGGCGGTGCTGGGGTAAGGAGGTGTAACTGGGACAGACAGACCCCACGAAGCCCATGTGCCAAGGAAAAAACAGGCTGGGTTTTAAATAGCAAACGCGGGTTTGGAATGGACATGAGGAAGGGAAATAGTATGGGTTCATATTTATGAAGACCCCCCCCTTATAAAAAGTATCTTCAGGGTAAAATTAAGAATTACCTGTATAAAATGATTTTATCCTTAATAACTCCTAGGCAAAATTAAATAAACAGAGCTAAGGAATCCATGTTTAATTAGGCAACATCCAAAGGATGGTTCCCAAGTTTCCGCCCCATTGCTGACTCACGGTGGGGCCGCTGGAAGGCCGGAAAGGCAGGCTCCCCCAGCAGAGGTGCGGGAGGTGGAGGAGGGGGGCAGCTCCAGCCACTAAGGCAGTGACCAGGGAGCTCCTTGGAAGAGGACATGAGCACAGAAGACAAAACCAGTCTGAAAAGGAATATATAAAAGAACCATAAAGCTGGAAAACGCTTATGACAGATGAAAAGGACTGGGGAAGATATGCAACTTGAGGCAATAAAAAGCAACCGGAAGATGTTCTGGTCATTTTACAACAGTTCCTGAACATCGTAATCGTGGAAACCAAAACTTTCTGAGGCGGCACCAATTTTACACCCCAGGTCCTTGATAAAACAACCAGAAGCGTATTCAAAACTCTAACATTTTGTTCTTTAAACAACTATCCCGCCCCCAGGACAAGACAAAAATCCTTTGATAAGCTACTGGTCCCGAATTTGCCCTTGAAAAAAATTCACATTAACTCCAGTGATTCAGAGACTTATGAGATATGGCTCTTTTCCTGAATATCGTTTACCTACTTATGAATCCACTCATACTGCTCCAGGCACAACTTACAAAGCTAACGTGGAAGTCCTTTGCAGGGCATCTTGGGCTCACTCTGCGATCCGACCAGCTCAGAAGTCCTAGCAGGCCCTGCAGGAAGCAAACCACGATTTCTTTCACTGGCCCAGAGACTTTTCTGCTTATTAACAACCCAGATCTTAACGACATGCCATACTTACTCTGTTTTCTCCAGCAGGCTTTCTGCCGATGATCTTCCTATTTTTACTTGAGTTTGGTGCCTTGAATTACCTTACTTTTGGTTCCTGGCATACAAAAATGCCACAAGAATAAGCTCTGTGTGAAAGACAGAAAACAAAAATAACCCCCATTAATAGCCAGCTGCTATCTTAGTAACTGGACTTCAACAAAACTGGCTCCAGATCTCAGCTCAGAAAAACTGTAACTGGCTGTGGGATTAATACAAGCAATTGCTTGCTTATCATCTTTTTTCAGTAAAAGGAAGAAAGGGGATGCTTAGATTAAAAGTCCACCAAAGACCATGAGATATGGGCACATAAAACATGGCATCTATTTAAGAAGTCTTGCTTATATTGACCTTTTCACCCACAGGCTTTGGAGTCCAAGCCGGCAGTTCTCAGTTTGGCCACAGGACCTTTTGACACTTGCTGCATGTTAACATAAGTAACAGGCTGTTTTTCTTGAAAGGGAAAATTGCTGTGTTTTCCCAAACAGAAAAAAAGGAATGAGCAAAGTGGTGTTGTTTGGCATCTCACAGACTGCTTTGGTCTCTGGTTCAATAGCAGACAGCTGAATTTTCGCCTGTGTTTAATCAGCTGCAATATCACACTTCATATAGCCTTTGGAAAGTCCTCTGTGCCTTCGTGAGTCTGAAGGTAAAAAGATGGTAACTTTTAAAAAACAGATGATAGATTAAACTTCATAGTAGTGTTATAATTGAATAGCTGTGTTATGTGGACTCAGGAAAGTTTAACAAAAACCACGTGCACGGAACAGTAGGGTGGGAAGATGAACACAGCTGACACTCTGGTCAATGACTGCACAGAAAGTGAAATGAGCTGGACTTGCTGACTGCGTGGAGAAAGCCTGGGGGAAAAAGAACGTGCTGAGCCTTGCCCAGAGGTTGTGCACACCTTTCACCTAATCCTTACAGCAATCGTGAAAGGTATGTATTATTTTTCCCCACAAGAAAAAGGCTTTGGGGTTAATAAGCACATTTCCTGAAGTTGTATGACTGATACATGTTGGAGCTTTCGTGCAGCCTCGGGTCTGATTTCAGTGATCATGCCGTTCACTCTGGCTCAATTACGGCTCCGCTCACCACTGGAAATGTAGAAAGGAACCCCCCTTTATGCAGGCAAAAGAGCTTTCCGAAAAGCTGCTAGGCAGTTGAGAGTGACTATGTCCTTTACTGATCCTCAAAAAACCATAACTAACTGACTTATTTGGATAATGTAATTGTACTCCTCCAAAAGGTAAATATAAATTTTTTAATTTTAGACATGCGTACTTTATTTGATGATATGTCAAAATTCAGTGGGAAAAATAAAATGGCATTCAACTGTTTGACAGCTTTTAAAGAACTAGGTGTTTTGTTTTCATTCATTTACATGGTATAATTAGATTCAATATAGACGATTAAGAAAATACAGGAAAAGTTCTTTAAATTTTTTTAATAAGTAATACTAATTCACACAGTCTGAAACTCAAGTTACTGAAGTGTACGCAGTGGCAATAACTCGTCCTACCCACACTTTGAACGCCCCTCACCTGCACTCATCACCACCCAGCCCCTCGCCAGATAAACCGCTGCTGCAGTTACTCCTGCAGCTTCCAGGGACATTCTAAAGGACCGTTTTCAAAAGAAATTTGAAATTCCCAGGTCATTAAAGCAACTAGCAAGGGATTCTTGATCCACCCTTCCCAGCTCCATTTACATACGGATGAAACGAGGTAAGAGTTGCAAAGGGCCGTCACACCAAATGTGAATGAGCGGTCTGCTAGAGCACAGGAGTGATCCCCCCAACCCAAACCCGGGTGGCCGAGAGGAAGGTCAGGGGCCGGCAGGATGACAGGAAGTGGGGCTTATCTCCGAGCGGGCAGGTCCGTGGGGTTTTACCCCCGGGGCTGCAGAATTACGGTGCTCACCCATACCTGCTGCTTCTCTGTTTCTAATGGGAAGCCTTTAGTTCCTTGACCCTTACAATTAGGTGGGCCCATGTGGCTATTTCTTGCCAATGAGCTACAAGGCCAAAGCTTTTTTAAATCTCACAAGACAGCACCTTCAGTGTTCTCTTCCCCAGCCACAGGGAGTACAGGGCGTGCGCTGCAGAGGGTGTGGCTCCAGACGGCAGGGCCTCTGTCAGCCGGAGTCCTCCCCTGAGTGGGGTAAAGCCGCTGATGGTTCACAGCGGATGCACAGTGCATGAAATAATTGTTGTATTAAGTGCAAGAATTTGGTGATTATTTTTTATGTCCCATCCTCACTAATACAATCATTTTTAACTCTCTGTACCCTTTAAAAAATTTTAACAGCTAGCATGTATTATCAGAATTTTTACAAAGCTGTAGTGGAAACAAATTTTGAAAAGCAATAATGTATAATAAAATAGGTAAAAATCAAAATTCAATTTAAGTTGCATAGATTAATTGCTTTTGCATTCTTTTATTGTGATTTTCTTGTATTTGCTTATAATGGAAAAGAAGGTTTCAACTCAGTTACCTAAGTTTACACCTTAAGAAAAAGAAGAATGAATTAAACCCAAAATCAAGCTAAAGGAAGGATATAATAAAGAGTAGAAAACAATGAAATTAAGAAAAACCAAACCAATGAACCAAAAGCTGGTTCTTAAGAAACAAAACAAACAAACAAAAAAAACTTGATAACTCTCCAGCCAAACTAAGGAAGAACTTAGCAATATTAGGAAAGACAGGACTTTACCACAGATCTCACAAATCCAAAAAGATAATAAGGGACTACTATGAATAATTTTTTCCAATAAATGAGGTAATGTGATGAAAGAAATTCCTGGAACGACACTAAAACTCATTAAAAAAGATCCCTAAAAACCCCTATTACAGAAACTGATTTTGACCTTAAAAACCTTCCTACAAAGAAACAAACTCTAGGTTTAGATGTCTTCATTGTTGAATTTTACCAAACATTTAATAAAGAAATACCAAACTTAAAGAGAGCAGAAGAGGACAAAACCCCTCCCAGTCCTGACTGGTGTCGCCCAGTGGGTGGGGTGTCGCATCTGTCTCCCAGTCAGGGCACATGCCTGGGTTGTGGGCCGAACCCCCTGATGGCGGCACGCGAGAGGCAACCAGTGAATGTTTCTCTTCTCTCTCTCTTCCTTGCCCTCCCTCTGACAAGAAATAAACATCTTTAAAAACAAACAAAAAACACCTCCCAACTCATTTTATAAAAGCAGAATTACCTTGATACCAAAATAAAAAATGTTTCAAGAAAACTAAATTATACATCAACAACCCTCAATAACAGAGGCAAAATTCTTAAGATATCATTAAATCCATCAACAAAAAAATATACCCTACTACATCATGGCCAATGCAAGCTTGATTTAATCCATCAATGTGATTCACCATGGAAACAGAATAAAGGAGAAAAACCACGTGATCATCTGAGTAGGCATCAAAAAAGAATTTAACAAAATTCCACACGATGAAAACTCACAAACGATAGAAGGGACTTTCCCAACCAGATAAAAAGTATCTATGGAAAAGCTACACCTCGCCTCATGCTTAGTGATGAACTGGCCATTCTCCCCATAAGACGAGGAACTATGCAAGGATGTCCACCTTCCACTCCTATTCTACATTGCCCTGAGGGCCACTGTAAGAAGGCACTAGCAAGAAATAAAAGGCATGTAGACGGGAAAAAAAGAAGTAAAACTGTCTAAGCCTGGGTGACATGATTATGTACTTAAACTAAGGAATCTACAAACAAGCTACTAAAAATAACAAGTGATTTAATTTAGCACAGTTACAGTTAATATTTAAAAATCATTATGTCTATGTGCTAGCAACAAACAATTGAAAAATGAAACACTTACAATAGTACCAAAACATGAAACACTTACGGATAAACCGACAAAGCACCTCTGAGCACAGCACTGTAGGAAAAAACTGAAGACGCTCTAAATCAGTAAAGACATATACCGTGGCCTGGAATATTTGGCAAGTTTTTTTTTTTTTGGTTTGTTTTGCAGAAACTGGCAAGCTGGTTCTACAATTTATATGGAAATATAAAGGACTTAGCAGAACCAAAATAATTTTTAAGAAAAATGAAGTTGGGGGACATACATTACCTGACTTTAAAACTCACTATAAACATATAGAAATAAAGGAATGTGGAATTAACATAAGGGTACCCTTTATGTTAATTGTATAAATCAATGGAACAGAAGAAAATTCAGAAACAAACTTACACATTTATCGTTAACTGATTTTCAACAAAAGTGCAAGATAATTCAGTGGGGGAAAGCATAGTCTGTTCTAAAAATGCTGCTGGAAAGTGAATATACACATCGGAAACAACTAACCTTAACCCTTTCCTCACATCGGCACAAAAATAAACTCAAAATGGAGCATAAGACTAACTGTATAAGTGAAACTGACATTTCTTGGGGAAAAAAAAGAAAAATCTTTGTGATTCTGTGTAGGTGTATTAGTTCCAAGGGCTGCCATAAATTACCACTGGGAGGCTCAAAACAAATGTTTCCTCTCAGTCTAGAGACCAGAAGTCTGAACTCAAAGCGTTAGCAGAGCCACGTGGCCTTGGGGGCTCCAGGAGGGCCCTCCCCACACCTCCTCCAGCTCCCACAGGCTCTGGCATCCTTGGCTTGTAGCAGTGGCGCCGGTCTGTGCCTCCATCTTTACAGAGTCTTCTCCCTGTGTCCGTCACCCTGTGTCCTCTCCTCTCTTTGTGAGGGCACTAGTCATGGGACTTGGGGCCTACTCCAATCTGGTGTGACCTTACTTCAGTTACATCTGCAAACACCTATTTCCAAATGAGGAGACATCCTGGGTGAACATGAATTCTGGAGGAACACTAGTCAACCCAGTAGGCATTGTTGATGAAGTGAACTCTTAAAAACAAACACTTCTCTTTGAAAGCATAGTTTAAAAAAAGGCAAGCTGCACACGGGGTGAAAATACTCACAATAAATATCCAACCAATGACTTGAATCCAGAATCTCGCATCTCAGACAACTAGCCCATTAGAAAACGGGCAGATGACCCGCACAGGTACACTGGGGAGATGCAAATGAAAACCGCAATTAGACACCGCT